AGGAAATGGATTAAATTGTCAATTGTCCAACTATGACATGTTGGGACAAAGACCTGGAAAGAGTATACCAAGACAGTTTCCTAGATGTTCCTCAATGATCTATAAGACTATGGGAGTAGAAGAAGAAAGTATAAATTTGGAAGAAAATATCTTACTTGGCATATTATTAGCTTTGTAATGGATTAATGTTTGTATAAAAGATATATTGAAGACACTACAATTACTGATGATTAAGTTATCATTCTACACTATAATGGACAATTCAAAAATTTGCCAGACAAGAAGGTGTTGAGAAAAGTGCTAAATGGATGATTCATAGCATTGTTGTCTCTTTTTGCCTCCTGCTCATCCTTTTGGATTGTGGGGTATGTATGTATGTCAAAAATTCATATTTTTAAAATGCAAAGTATTTCAGTTTTGTTTCTTTTGAATATTTTGGCATGGTTTACTTATTAAATAAAAGAGAATCATTTCTGATTGACTAGAATTATATTTTAATTGTATTTTTAAAAATCAAGTTTATTTTCAATCTTATCATATTTTGTCTGTAAATTGTAGTAAAATGTAAGTAATTTATAGAATAAATTTTTGTATTGAAATAAATTTAAACTTATTACTTATTTTTCTTATGTAATCTCAGTAAGCAGGATTTTAATTATGTACAGAATAAAATATAAAAACTATATACTGGTGTTGGACTGAGTATTTGGTATTATTCAGTATTCAGATGTATTTGGCCACAAAATAACTTTAGTATTCAGCCAAATACTAAACACACATATTCAAAATTTTGACTGAATACTTCCTCAAAGGCAAACTATATGGCTGAATAATCTCATTTTAGTTGAGGGAGAGAGAGAGAAGGAAGGAAAAAATAGCACACAGAATAAAATGAAAAGAACATTTAAAAACTGGTTTTTAAAAATATTTATTTTTTTCCAAAACAAATATAGCTTTAGTAAATAATCTTAGGCAAATATTATTATTATTCTAATAACTATGCAAGAGTGACAAATTGTAATGAAGGAACAGAAATGCTTCTGCATTCATAAAAAGTAAATGATGATGTTGGTTGTCATAAATACTTCCAACTTTGCTGAATATATTGTAAATTCACTAAATACACTACTTACTGGGATTGGTAATAAAACAATGGACCTTAATGGCAAGATTTAGTTTACTACTATTCATTACATAATAATAATTTTTTTATAATAAAATTATATAATCTATTATTGAATAGAAGATACGTCCCTTTTCCTCATTCAAAGATTTATTATTTAAGCCTTCTGTTTCAGGCAGTGCCACATAAATTAGGTGATATTTGGCCAAACATCAATAGTTAGATAGGCAAGAATATTCAATATTTGGCCAAATTACCTATTTTGTCCATCCCTGCTGTATACTAAAGATTATTTTACTGTATATTACACAAATACACGGTATCCTGAAATAGACATCCCACCCCAACTTTCAAAAGAAATGTATAAAAAAGTTAGAGCCAAAAATTTTATTCTTACTGCATATTGGTGTGAAAAAGAATAAAATTAATAGAGCTGTTCTGGTGTTCATAATTTGTCAATAAACAAAGTCATTTCATCATGCTATATTGAAATATTTGCATTAGTATGTGGCCATACATAATGCCTTGGATGTTTCATTACAGACATTGTGATTCATGCAAGATAAAGTAAGGTGACTGTTTCCTATATGAAAATTGGCCCATCTGCTGATCCTTCTGCTGGAAACAGTGGCCCAAACAATTACTCTTTGTGAATGAAGCATTTGTGACACTCTTGCGCAAATGTTCTATTCTGCATCTATGCCAATTCTGTATATTGACAAATCCATGAATAACACCAGAACAACTTCTACATTAATTTTATTCTTTGCCACACCAATATGCAATGATAACAAAATTTTTGTTTCTAGCTGTTTTTCAGATATTTCTTTTGAAAGTTGGTGTGTCCATTTCAGGACACACTGTACATAAGAACATTCATACAAAATAATTCCATTTTCCAGCAGTATTTAATGAGGAAAGAATGTTTTCAGCTTCATTAATAGGACTTAAATTAAATTTAATAAATTTTTACAACAGTAATACAAATGTTGTTATAATTATCAGAGGAAAGTCTTTTTTTCTTTCTCTTTCTGAAAGAAAAACTACTGAAGACTGACCAATATTTACATAAGAATATGGAATATGTTGATTGACCAGCAAGTCAATTGTTTTCCATTATTCTCATTTTTTGCAGTTGCTTGCTTCTAGGGTTTCTCATTTCCCGGTATTTTGCTTGTCCCGGGATCCCGGGGTAAAAGTGAACTGTTTCCCGGGATCCCGGGAAATCCCGGGATAGAATTAATTATTTTTAAGGTATACAAAATATCTTGAAATCAAATGATATAATTATTTTCCATTTTTTAAAGTAATTTTAAAGTTTTGTAACCTCCAAAATCATATTAATAATGCTGTGTTAGCTCTATAGGCCTATAATAAAAATTACCTTTAAATAACGTAGAAATTTTCACAAATAGAAAAAAATTAATTAAAGTTTGCTGGAAACTGCATACAACAACAACAAAAAAAATGTTTGAATTGAGTTAAAAATTAAAAAAATGAACTTCTAATTTAGAAGATAATTTTCGTTTTTTAAATAAAATATAATACAAAATATTGCAAACTTTTATAAGATTTTAAAAAGCAAAGATGGTCAATACTCCGATAACTCACTCTAATTCTTATTTTAGTAATGAAAAGTCTTGCCACCGAGAATGCCCTTTCCGATTCAATTGATGTGATTGGAATAGTGTTTAATGCATTTAAGAGAAGACAGATATTATGTGTTTTTTCACCTGTAGCCTGGAAGCTTTCGAGTTCGTTTTCGAGATTGTAGTACTTCTTTCGCTCTCTAGTATTCTTGATTTGTCTACCTTGGCTGCTTTAATAGTGGCATCAAGCTTAGAGCTCGATAATTCGGCAATTCATTTGGCTTTAATAATCAGGTTTATGAAGAAAAACTTCATACTTGCAGACTTTGTACTCGTTTGTATCCTTGCCCAATTTGCACAATCTGGCGTCAGGCATTTATTGAAGCTACTGGGCATGGTTAAAACTCAAGACAGCGTAAGCACAATTATTCCAGATATTACAGGTTCCGACAAGTAAAGAATTTTTATAGTCATGCCACAAATAAGCTATATATTGATTATTGACCATTTGTGACATGCTATAACGAGCAAAAATTTAAAAAAACTAATAGGTAGGTTTAAAATTAATAAATACAAATGTATTCTGGCAGTGAATGAGTTAATTATGCTTTCTATTTGCAAAACTCCTCAACCTTAACACAAAATAAGAAAAAAAGTGAATTTTTAAGAAATTTGCGGGATTTCCCGGGTTAAAAAAACAACCGGGATCCCGGAATCCCGTTTCAGAAACCCTACTTGCTTCTCTTTATTAAAATACTTTGTCTCTATCTCTCTAAATAAGTTTAGTTTAAAGTAAGTTTGATATTGATTTATGTGATATTTATTAAACTTTGTTGTCATTGTTGTTATTTATCATATTGTATGAATTAATAATTATTTTTTATCTTGTATTGTTTATAATAATAATGTAACACTCAACCTATAAATGGAACATTATTATTATATTCTATCAAGTTGGTCTTATGCATATGTTGATTGTGATTACAACTTTTTGGCTAAATGTGAATTGTAGATGTGATTGTTTCTATATGTATTCAAATGTGGATTATATTTTATTTTAATATGTATATTTTATAACATTATACTTTCTGTAAGCATGATATGTATTAAGAAAATAAAGCAAGAATTATTTATTATAGTGAAACATAAGCTGATTATATTTCTTTCGGTTGTGAGTTCTTTAGCAAAATGTTTTCTATATTATAAATGTATGAATTTGAAAAATAAATCAAATATTATAATTGAATATTTCTTCATTCAGATACATTCTATGATTATTTGTGAATCATTAATTAAATGTATCTATATGAATTTATTTGTCCATAATCAGTGAAGCTAATGATATTCTATGAGATAATATACAATCAGTTTCATAATTATGTCACCCCAATAATTATGAATATGGGATATGGTATGAGTGACATAAACTGATTTTTATAATAAAGTAAGAGAGTGTGAATACAATTTAATTGTTAAAAAAACTATTTTACCTGAATCATATTTTGAAAAGGTTAAAAAATGAATCTATTGCCCAGTTTATATTTTTAATGCCACTTCAGCCAAATTAGTTATCAATGATTTGTTAAATTAATGATTATCTTGCATACTACAAAGGATCATCATAATTTTGACAAGATGTCTTGTTAAATGAATGTGAATTTGGCCAAATGACTTAAGGAATAGAAGAGCCTTCTCTTAGTTGTGTACAAGTTAGGTCATTCACTGCAGATGATACACAACTTTATAAACAATCCTGATGAATATGTAAAGAAAAGATGAACTGGATGCAAGTAACTTCTCACAGGAGATGAACAAGCATTTTCATCTATTTTCAGATTTTCTATTAAAGTGTGCCGAAATACATACTTAAGGTTTGTTCTGTTTATTTTGAATAATTTCAGTTTTTTGAGAATGTAATTTATTGTTTTGTTGTAAAATGTATACATTTTATTGATTTAATTTGATTAAATGCTATTGACTATTTTGACTATTATCTGCAGTACTTATATATAGATAACAACAATATAGTATCACTACACCTCAGGATTGTCCAAATACATAATTTTTGGGAGCAACTTTATAATTATGAAGTTAACTTTAGTTAAACTGTCCTTGTCTAGAAAAAGTCCAACTAAACATTCAAAATATGAGATGTTTTTTATAATTCTGATGAATAAAATTCTATAGTTTCATTTCTGTTTTATATTAGTATCATTGTCATTAGGTATCTAATTATGATAAATTAAATAGTATAAATGTTTTTAATTAATAAATTTATAATATTTTAGGAACCTCAAAACAAGTATCTTCTGTTCAGTATCCATTAATCATCAAGTGTGGTCATACTTTATGCAAGAGTTGTATTGAGACAGCTGCTAGACTTGATAAGTCTATAGTTTGTTCTATATGTGAGGTATGATATTTATAGTGAATTAAAGACATGGTGGATTGTGAAAAGTTTCTATATATAAAAAAGCTATTTGTATTAATGCTAAAATAAAGTACATAACTTTAAAATTTTCAAAGTTATTTGAGCTTTTTTGGGTGTAAGCATATAAAAAAAGAATAAAACTTATTGGAACAAATTTAAATACAGAAATAACTACATATTTGTATTTACATTTGTCTGAATGAGATATTCTGCTTTATATGTATGTAAAGAAGAATAAATCAAAATACTTTTGTAAATTTTACAATTAAAATTTTTATTGTAATATATTATTAATACTAAAGTAAAAGCAGCAACAGAAACCAAAACCAACATAGAAAGTAACAGAACTAATGTTTTTATCCATGTTAAATGGGCATTATCAGGCTACATGACCCCACAGCTGTTAAAACAATGGGAAATTGCAGGTACAAATATCAAGAGGGAAAGCAATGTAAGAAAGAGGGAGATAGGGGGAGCGGACAGAAAGTTTACAGTTCATAGAATGTCTTCCAAGCAGTGGGGAATTTCACAACGTAGATTCTTTCCCTCTGCTTTGAAGATGTTCTATAAACTGTAAACTTTCTATCCACTCCCCTCTTGACACTTGTACTGCAATCCTCCATTGTTTAACAGCTGAGGGGTCATTTAGACTGATGATGAAAATGTTAGCTGTTATTTTCTCTACTGGTTTTTGGTTTTGGTAGCTGCTTTTATCAAGTTTATCCAGTTTTGAGTTATTGTTTTAATACAAGTAGTTTCTTTTTATAGACAAATTGAAATGTAATATTATTTAATATCTTAATTTATGTTTTACTGTAAAATTATTACTACTATGTATTTATAGATTTATTAATGATACTTTTGCTTTTATTATTCAAAATGCCTTCACCTTAGTTTCAGTATAAGTTCAAATGCAAATCCAAATCTATTTAAATTTAAAGTACAAAAATTACACAAATTTTTTTACATACTAAAATAATTCATTTTTAAAGTTTTAACAAAACTACTTTATCAGAAAATATAATTTCATGCTTCTGATGAATTTACTTTGGTGTAGTGACCAATTTTTTAAATTTTGGTGCTACACCAAAAGTATTTATATTAAAATTATTTATAAAAAATTGATTAAAATATTTCTGTTATAAATACAGTAATATCTCGACTTACGCTACCCCGACTTACGCGAACCCGGAGTTACGCGATTTTCAAATCTCGTCAATTCGTCTTTTGTTTTAGCAGCACGCAGCTCTTGATTACTCACTCCCCCCACACTATTGTTCAGCTTACATGTTCGGATGTGTTGCGCGGAATTGACNTAAAAATGAAAAATGTTTTTGATCAGTTTCACTGATCTTCCTCAGTTACAGTATATAATGGAATGGAAAAATTAAAGAACATAAATACAAATTTTAAAGGTCATAAAAATAAATTTAAAGAACAATAATTTGAATTTAAGAATGTTTTATTAATTAAAAATATAAATTTGTATTTATGTTCTTTAATTTTTCTGTTTCATTATATTCTGTAACTGAGGAAGATCAGCAAAACTGATCAAAAACATTTTAAGTTTTATTAAATTCATTGCTTTAACTTTGCTAACATTATGTTTTATTTATCATTATTAATATTTTATTGTATTAAGTATTTATTTAGTGATCATGTTGTCATTCCTAAATTATAAACATTTCAGAACATTGCTATTTTAGAGGAATAGAACACTCACCTTTCTTTTTGCATTCTTCCATGAAGCAGAAATTTATTATTGAGTGTTAAGAAAAATTAAGTAAATTTTTTATCTAAATGTAAATATGTAGACATTCCTGCTTAATGTCAATAATCAGTTTTTGAAAGTCAGATTTTCTGCAAGAAAATGTTAACTGGGAGTCTATTTTCCAGTGTTCTAAATGGCAAAGAAAGATCAACTCAAAACCAGGGATGCAAAATAATATTAGGACTCACATTCCCTCAAAAATTGTTGCACACTAGTGCACAAACTAAAACAACATTTTATGAATGAATTATTAATTATAAGTACATAGCTTGAAATATTTTAATTAAATCATACAAATAATTAGATAGGCCTATGATAAAATTTTCCATACACCACTAAACTGATAAATCCATGGAAAATTTTAAAATTAAAATAATTTCTTAATTTAAGAACATATTTTATGACAATATATAGAATTATAAACACTGTGTATGTTTCTATATATTGTCATAAAATATGTTCTTAAAATAATTTCTTAATTTAAGAACATATTTTATGACAATATATAGAATTATAAACACTGTGTATGTTGATTAATGGAAATAAAATTGGAGTTGAATGCAATCATCGCAATAGATGNTCCATACACCACTAAACTGATAAATCCATGGAAAATTTTAAAATTAAAATAATTTCTTAATTTAAGAACATATTTTATGACAATATATAGAATTATAAACACTGTGTATGTTGATTAATGGAAATAAAATTGGAGTTGAATGCAATCATCGCAATAGATGACCTATTCTTAACACAGGATTCAACTTTCTGGAGGCCTTAGATTTGAGGCTTTTTGGGGCCTTTTTTTTTAAATTTTTAAACACTAAATTTAAAAAACAAAGTGTTTTATACATAAAGTGATATTTTATTAACTTAATTGTTACAAACATTATTAAAAGTTAATTAAAGTAATACATTAGAAGTAGATATAAGAAAGTTATATGCTAGCCAATGATCACATTAATTAATTTTTAATTTTGACAAGAAATATCTACCTTCATATTGCTTTACATTCCTATGTTCTATCACTTATAGCAGCTACATACTTTACAATATGTCTTGGATCCTGTTAGTCCTGTTAGCTCTCATAATAGATTTACTACTGCACAGGGCACTGATTAACAGACTTAACATTCAAAATTTCTTTATGATGATGGTGGTTGTGCAAATTTTTGTAAACAGGTAGCGATGTTTTAGAGTTTTTGACTATTGTTTTTATTATTGAAGATGTGACTATATTTTATATTTTTATAAATTCTAAAATATTAACATCAAATTATATCTATAAAAAATATGAAAAATAAAGTATATATAGAGTGTAACAAAAATGCATGTAAAAAGTTTGAGGGGTTGTAGAAAGATTAATTTTGAGTCTAAAATTCTAGGGCCATTTTTTGATTTGAAGCATTCATTTTGAATTATGATTAAAAAATGTGGCGTCACTTCCTGTTTAGCAAAACATCATCTGATGTATGAAAATATTTGTTGATAATTGCATGTTAGTTTGATATATGGTAAAAAAAATTACTAATTGCGGTTGATGAACAAATACTGTTGGTGAGAGTATCATGACACTCTCCTAAGACATTCCAGATGATGTCTAGACTTTTGTTTATATAACTACATTCTTGTAATTCATACCTCATCCCCCTTAGTTTTTTGGTATGTGTAGTAGATACAGCTTAAACTGTGTGTTCAAACCAAGCAGTTGCTTTTTCACTTCACTCCACTGTCACACCCTGCATTTATCACAACAAATACAAATAATGCAAATGCTTTTGACTTCAACTTAGTAAGTCAAAAATTCCATATTATTCAAAGATGTTTGAATATAGAAATTAGCATTAAAAAATTAGCAGTACATTTAAATGTTTAAAACATTCCATATTTGAAAATGTTCTTGGAACATCTTTGAATATGCAAATTTTGGCTAATTGTGGAACTTAACACCAGTCTGATGCAGCCATATAAAAAAAACCTCAAAATTCAAGTAACAAGTTTATAAAATTTCAGATAATAAGTAATGAATATCAAACTAACATGCAATTATCAACAAATATTTTCATACATCAAATGACATTTTGCTAAACAAGAAGTGACATCAATTTTTTTTAATCACTTATAATTCAAAACAAATGCTTCAAATCAAAAATTGGCCCTAGAGTTTTCGACTTGAAATTAACAGCAGTGTAGTGTGTGTTAATGTGTGTATAGGTACATATGTATGTAAAGGGTTTTTCCAAAAAGCATAGCAGATCTTTAAAGTGAAATAAAACAAAGTATGTATGAGATGATTTGAAATATCTTTTATTTTGTATGAAAGTATATTCAGTTTATTATGCATAGAAATCACTAGTGTTCAAATGGTTGCCATGGCTTCTTTTTCTGGCATGTAGACCCCATTTTCAATATCTTATATAATTTTGGCTCTATTTCATGAATAACTTGGGTAATGTTGTCCTTGAGATGTGTAACTGTTTGATTTATCAGCATAAATGAGATTTAACATAGTCCCAGAAAAATAATCTAAAGGCATTAATTAATTAAATTGTACAATCTTGGTGGATAATTGATATTTCCATTTCACAAAATAATAATAAACCTTTCAAGCTTCTTCTTTAATAAGTAGATGATTGATAACTATGAAATTCAAAAATAACCGGAGGAAATAGTTCATTAAAACTTACACCTTTATAAATCCAGCAATGAATTTAATAAAAATGAAAAATGTTTTTGATCAGTTTCACTGATCTTCCTCAGTTACAGTATATAATGGAATGGAAAAATTAAAGAACATAAATACAAATTTTAAAGGTCATAAAAATAAATTTAAAGAACAATAATTTGAATTTAAGAATGTTTTCTTAATTAAAAATATAAATTTGTATTTATGTTCTTTAATTTTTCTGTTTCATTATATTCTGTAACTGAGGAAGATCAGCAAAACTGATCAAAAACATTTTAAGTTTTATTAAATTCATTGCTGGATTTATAAAGGTGAAAATTTTTATGAAGTACATGGTTGATTTTGATGTATTGTTGAATAATTTAGTGTTCAATGATGATTTGCCAAACTTTTGTTGAATCTACAGTAATACCCCAAACTTACGCGATAGGTGGGACCGAGCGGTAACCACATAAGTCGAATTCGCGTAAGTCGGGGTATAATTTCGCATATAAATACATACAAATAATTTTTAATTGGAGCCGGAGACTAAAGAAACAATAATTTAGAAAAAAATGTTTAATAAAATCTTAGATAATACATATGTATAACAAATTAGGCCTATATTATTTTACAATTTTTCACATTTACTTGATTATCACGCCATAATTTTAACATTGTTTCCATCTCAGCGATAATACCATGACGTTTACGAATGATGCTTGAATTTAAAGATTGAGCATTTTTCACAGCTTTGAGAATTTTTTCTTTGCCTTTTATAATTGTTCTGACCATCGATTCCGGTAGATCAAACTTTTTTGCCAATTCACAAATTTTCATTTTTGTATCAAAGTCTTTAATAATGGGTACATTCGTAAAGTCAAACAAGTTAAACACGTTAGTAACGAATAACGATGACGTCATTCTTGTTTAACTCATTCGACTTTACGAATGTATCCAATGTTAACTTTACATTCCAAAGATAGTTTTTCTTTTCTTGTTTGATGCAGAAGAATTAGTTCTACTTCGTTTGGATGACATAGTAGTCTCTCAAGTCTCCGTAGATATAACAAACACAGAAATAAATCACACAAAATAAATTGTAGCTATGTGTCGATTCCGCGTGATACATCCTAACATGTAAGCTGAACAATAGTGTGGGGGGAGTGAGTAATCAAAAGTTGCTTGGCGCTCAAACAAAAGACGAATCGACGAGATTTGAAAATTGCCTAACTCCGGGTTCGCATAAGTCGGGGTAGCGTAAGTTGAGGTATTACTGTATCTATATAAAAATTGACAGTCATTCAAATATTGCTGCAATTGATTTTTAAAGTTGTATCATTCCTAAAGTTAAACTCCCTAGGAAAACCCTTTATATAAATTATGTTAAACATGTTTAGCATGTGTTGTTGTTGGGTGCATATATTTTTATACACTCATTTGAGGATTTTATATTTTAGGAAAAGACAGAGCTTCCAGATGGACAAAAAAGTGTTGATTCTCTACTTTCGGATCTGTACATTCTAGGTAGACTTTCTGTTCCAGATCAAAATTTTAGGTAAGCTAATAATAATTTTTAAAATTTGATTTAATTAATTTAAAATAGTTTTAATCTTCTTGATTATATTGTTTATATAAAACTTATTTTTCAGATCTGTACATTCTAGGTAGACTTTCTGTTCCAGATCAAAATTTTAGGTAAGCTAATAATAATTTTTAAAATTTAATTTAATTAATTTAAAATAGTGCAAGTTATACGTAAGGGGAGTGTATAATTACATATGAGGGAGAAAAAACATAGTGAAGGAACAGAGGGAAGAGAGAGAAGAAGAAGAAGGAAGGAAAGATAAAAATACTACAGCTGTAATTAAAAACATGATAAAATTATAAAAGTATTTCTGTAAATACATTTACAACAATTTAAGCAATTAATAATGAATTTCTAATAGAATATTCAGCAAAAAACAGGACATTCTGATAATAAAACTTATAGTTAACATACCTTCAATTTCTCTTATAATTTCTCTTAATAACTTACAAAATAAAAATAAAGGATAAATAGGCCAAATACATTAAAATGTAATAATCTTAGCAATGAAAAGAATTTTAAAAAGTTAAAAGATATACCCAGGTCATTAAACTTTAGTAAATTTGTAAATTTGGCAATTATTTTCTAAATTCCTTATATTTTGTATACATTGGATAGGTTCCGGCTAGAAGAACCCACTCAAAAATCTCATAAAAAGCGATAATATAATGTAGAATATCTCTAAATCTTTTAAATCTAAATATATACATTTTATTGAGAATTTGATGCTTAAGAATACACAGAATCTTGACTAATTTCTTCTATAATTTCAATTTGTGCTCATTCTTAGAAATTAGTACTTTTTTATAACGGTAGGAGAAAGAATATAATTACCTTCTTACTTAAATACAAAACTTATGGTTGTAACACCTCCTAGGGAACTTTTTATGAGTCTAACACCTAAATAGGGGCCAGTATTCCATATTTCTATTGGAAGATCTCTTTGACAGATTGCCCAAATGTTGCTTTGCCTTAATTCAGGGATTCCCAACCTTATTTATGCATCGATCCATTTTAAGAACAATTTTTTTTCTTCGACCACCTTCAATATTATATATGAATATATATGCAACAGCTATCTACATAATTTTTAAAGGGTCTCTTCCTACATTTACTCGCTTTTTACATTTGATTCCTTCAAACTTTTATTAACTCTAAGAGGATCAATATTGACTCTATTGGAAAACCCTGTTTTAATCTATCCATCCTCACCCGTCTGCCTTTGGGGCTGATTTTGGGCCTATCAAATTTAGGATGGGCCAATGCCTATCCTGAATTTGACAGGCTCAAAATGGCTCTTCTGGTGCCATAGGTAGAAAGAGTAACAAATTAAAAAATTCTTCAATATGGCTACATTATCTTAAATTCAAAATTACTTAAAGACAATTCGTTTATTTATCCATTTTATATTTATTTCGATCTCTAAATGGCATGATATATTCTTGTATAATGATATTAAAACTAATATTGTTGAAAAATTGTTAAATAATATGTTATCTAGTTTAAAAAAAAAATTATATTTGAGCCACTTTAATGATCCTTACTTGAAAAAGATGCTCCTTCAGAGGATGATTCTTATTGAAGAATCTCTAAAGGTCTTTCATTCGTCTGAATAACTGATTTTCCCGAAGAAGGGAATATCTTTGAAAGATCTCCTCTAAAGATGAGGAATAATTAATGATTACTTTTTTTATGATTTCCATGAAAAATTTTCGAAGGATCTTTGATTCCTCTGTAGAATGTGATTTCTTTAATGGATCTTACTTTCGAAGGATCTTGCTCATCCAAAGAAAGTGATCTTACCTCTAGATAATCTCTTNTGAATATAAAAAATTAATTTTTTTCTTATTTTGGATTACTATTATGACCATAACTGTATTGAATATTTCTCGGCATTTACACATACCAGTACAACATAAAATCATGCTAACTCCATAACTAGTTCTTAATATCATTGAGAACAAGAGATAGTTATAAATTTCTAATTTTTCTAAGTGCTTGATGTCGGACAAATAAGGCTTGCAGGAATGATTTGGCTATTAATTACAAATATAATACATTGTCACAAGCTTAGAGAGCTTTTGAAATCCAACAAAAATAAAGGCTGTAAATTTTTGTGATGTCTCCACTGCCACAATCCAGTCATAGGCTGACATTCGTAACTTAAAATGTTCAATTCGATTTGCTTTCAACTTTCAACTGTTCTCTTTAACCTAATGATGGTTGTTTAATACTACTGAAAACATTTGTTTTAAATTAAGTTTTTACATTTTGTGCTGGATTTTGTTAGTTATATATATTTGTTATCCAGTATCTTAAAGTTGTAAAGTTTATATTATTATATTTTTAATATCTATTGAAATATTTTTTCAAACAACTGTAAATATTTACAGCTGCTTCTATTGTAAAGTTTTCAGTTTTATTTTAGCACTATGATTACATTTAAATGTGACATTTTTTTCTATTACATTAGATTTATATTACATATTTGTATATGATTTATTTAATGTGTTTATATCTAGTTTAATAAATTTTCACAAAATTACTATTAACAAATTCAGAGAAATCTGGCATTATTCCACCAAAATTCATTTATTTAACATAGACAAACAAATTCATCTTGTCTTTTTTCCAAAAAATTGTGACAAACTTTTGTGAGGTGCGGATTTTTTCGGATTTGTATGGGCCGCTTAAACATCTAAATTTTCGGTTAATTAACTTCGGAAATTACCCGAGGAATTTAAACTATATCGAATTTCACCGAGTTTGTAAAAACTAGCTGAGGAAGTTTACATTTAAGTGTGAAGAATGCACTGTCATCGTCAACAAGAGTCGATGACGTGTCAGCTCTCACACAAAAAGATATAAAAGGGGAGATCACCGGAAGCTCGGCGCATCCACACACGGAAGGTATTCTTAGTACTTGTGTTTGTCGATCTCCATGCCAAGGACTGTGATCCTGTCGGAGAAGACATAGAAGACACCACACCCTTCCATACAGACGACGTTTGCCAACTCTCCCTTTCACCTAGAGGTATTTAGGGGTAGATATTATAAAAGTGCTCTCTCTCTGAATTAGAAACTAGGGCAGCGACCTAGCTAAGAACGTAATCGCCAATTTCTGTAAATACTTTAATATAATAGCATTTAGCTTTAGTATTTTTGTAACTTAGTTGTGTTAATTAATAAATGCTTGTTATTCTGTTGACCTGTCTCCTGTCTAATCGGCACCTGCCAACTTACCGGCGCACTCCCCACTCGATTTGCCCTCCATCCGATGACGCAGAGATCTGGTTTTGCCAGCCCGTGCAGAGTAAATGGTCATTGTGAGATTAACCCGTGGCCCGCTGCTTGTCTCACACTTTTTTCCAAAAAATTGTGACAAACTTTTTTCCAAAACATTGTGACAAAAAGTCAGAGTGCACAGTTTATTTGAAACAAATTTGGTGATGTAACCTGCAAAGTGCAGGTAACTTCCTGTTATCAGTTAATATATACAGTCGACCCCCCTATAACACGGTAGATACAATCCGTTCTTTATGAATCGATTTCTTACGAGTCCTTGCCAATCACAGCCCGATACATGTGAAGTTTACGGACTACAGCTGTTTGAAAGGTTTTCTTCCATTAAATTAATTGATTCTAGACTAATTTGACTCAACATTTCCAAAATACGTATATTTTTTTTTTTTGGGAATAATCCATATAAACTACACTATCAACAAAAAATTGTAGGATTACTTACTGAGTGTGCACCGTTGGACGTCGCCATTGCTGAAGTTTGTTTTCGTCGCAGAGCAACGCACCAGACCGCAGCCGCAATTTCTGATAAGTTATTTTTCTGCGAAAACTTCGTTGAACTTTGGAGACATCATTAATATAAATAATTGTAATGGCCGTTGAATGAGAAATGTTTCTTTCACAAGAAATGTATAAAAGTATTATACTGTATTAGACTTACGGGACCTAATTTACATACTGTACAGATGATAGTAAACAACTTACTCGCCTAAACTCTCCATAGCGTGGCGCTGGACGGCGGAAAGTATATATATAATTATAATAAAGTTACAATAAATTAAGTTAATATATAATTATATATACAGTACCTAATTTATATATAATTAATATATAATTATATGTACAGTACCTAATTTATATATAATTTATATATAATACTAAACAGACGATAGCAAACTCAATTTANTACGGTCCCCCCCCCTATAAGATATAGATACATTCCAATTTATTAGGAATCCGATTTCTTACAAGTCGTTCCAATCACAGCCCGACACGTGTCAAGTTTACGGACTACGGCTGATTGAAAGGTTTTCTTCCATAAAATTAATCGATTCTACACTAATCTGACTCAACATTTCCAAAATATGTATATTTTTTCGTAGTTTTATAGGAATCGTAATTATAAGGGACCGTAATTATAGGGGGGTCGACTGTATAATACTGTACAGACGATAGTAAACTCGATTTACCCGCCTAAATTCTCCGTAACGTGGCGCTGGACGGCAGAAAGTAGTTCGGCTGCCCGACGACGTTTTACCGAATTATAGGAGTTTTTTTACCAGGTTTGTACGGATATTGTCGCAATTTTTTCGCCATCTTATAGGAATCATAATTATAGGAACCCGTGTTATAGGGGGGTCTACTGTAGTTTACTTTGCTAGTCCATAAATATAAATGAGGATGTTTGTTTGTTCTCTACACACACCTAGGCCATTTGACAAATTGCTATGAAACTCTGCAATTATATTAACGTACTTCTAACTTAGATAATGACATAAATATTACCTCAAAATATTGGTTGGATTTTTGTATATCAATTAATTTCTGTCTACATTCCATTTGCAGGGTTTACACAAAGTGCCATCTATTGGCAAAAAATTTAAGAAAGTAACAAACTAAATATAATTCTTAAAATGGATATAATTTTAAAAAATATATATTATTATCACTTAATTACTGTGACAATGATACAATGTGAAATAGATGTGCTATATCATTATTATGACAGGTAGCATATAGTCCTTGCCTTCATGGAATTGAAAGTGATATCCTGTGAAAAGTTTATAAGTATTTAATTTTTCACATCTAACAACTCGGGTTTTTCCATATCTGAATGGTACTTTCTTAATTCTGATAGTGCCGTCCAGTAGCCAAGTGGATAAAATAATGAAATCTGATAGTTGGCTGTGGGTTTGGGCATTGCTAATAGGCTGGTCACATGGTTTTCCAGTTTTCTTCATGTTAGTAACACCTAACATGAAGAACATGCATTTTTCTATAAATGTGATATTTTTGAGGATGTACTTCCCATGTAGTTTATACAATTTGTTGCAAAAATCTAAACACTTTATTATCACATAAAAGCAATTATTCTTGCTGCATTTTTACACGATTGTTTTATTTAAAAAGTCATAAGAAGTCTTTTAGATGTTAAGGTTAGCAACTTTGATCACATTCAGAGCCATCACAACCTGTCTAACATGGATCATTTTTCAAATACTAATATTACCATATTAATTAGTAGTTGTTGACTGTTCTCTCTTCCAAGAGGAAGTTAATGACTTCTTTTGGTTGAATTACTTCAACCAAACTCTTTATATGGTTTTCAGTTTAATGTTTGTTGTATACTATAATATGATATAATATAATACAGTATTTGATCTATATAAATACAAAGGTTATCTTACGTAAGGGTTTATCCCACCAAGTGACAATCTATCACAATTTTTTATTCCTCAACTGTACACAATTTAAAGAATATTTAAAATGTTAGATTGGTCACTTGATGCAATAAATCCATATATAAGATAATCTTTGTATCAATAGTTACATAAATCAAATAATATAATATAATAGAAGGATTAGAAATACAAAATAATCTAATAATTGTAATATTTATTGTTACACTTTAATGATGAACTCGGATATTTTCTTCCAAATTATAAATTAGAAGTTCAGACTATTTACAAAAAAATTATTAAATTTTTTGAGTATCAATTAATTCTTTAGTCCTTAATCCTTAGTTAAAAGGATTAATTGATAGACTCAAAAAATTTAATAATTTTTTTTTTTGTAAATAGTCTGAACTTCTAATTTATAATTTGGATATTTATTGTTATTTTTTGCCCAGGTGAAGCTGGGCTTATCTGCTAGTGATAAATGTGATCAACGAATAATCAGTTAGGAATAATGATGAAAAACATTTTGTTGTGACTAATTTTGTGAAAATGATGATAAAGTAAGTTAAGTATATAACTGAGACTGATAGTAAATAATTTTTATACTGCTTCTTAGTTTAAACTGTTGGTCTATTAGCAGTTTTTTACTTTTGATTCAAGTTAAACAATATAAAGTCTTACCTTCATTTAATTAGTAAGTTAATTCGTTATGAAATAAATTAACTGCAATTTGTAGTAATATATCTTTATCAGATATGCAAATTATTTCTTTTTCCTTAGTATTTTTATCTTTTAATACCATATGGACTTGTAACTGAACACTATCATATTGATTGCTACAAAACACTAAAAGTGAAGGTGGTTGTTGTGTTACAATCATAAATTTGTAAAATTTGTTAAACATCTAATAAATTAAATTGGTCAAGTTTTTTTCTTATCAAATATCTTAAAAATGGGTGCATGGATTTCTCAAGTGTGTGGATTATTCATGAAAATAATGGTATATTATACATTAAAAAGAAAATTAAATTTATTATAATATTTTTTATGAAAAATGGATGTCATATTAAATTCAATATTTATACCAGTGGTTCTTAACTGGTGTTTTGCAGAACAAACAGGAATTTCTTAAATGTGCCTTGAATGCTTCAGGAAATAAAATAGATTTGAAGTTATTATTTCAAATTTATTCCGATGTATTACAATATATTATCAATACATTATTTTCAGACAATTCCTTGCTTCTGTTTTATTCCATGCATTAAATTTATTAGTTTATTGCTTCATTGTTTTCTAAGAATAGAAAACATAAAAATGCTTATCAATAAATTTTAGAATATATTGATGCTAAAGCTCCACATAATGAAATGTGTATGAATGGTGTTCCATGGCCTCAGAAAGGTTGAGAAACAGTGATGTATTCAATATCAATATTAAATGCAATATTATTTTAATGAATTTGCGGTATATAGGGTATTAATTTACTGGTTATCATATTATTATATTTTTAATATGATTAAATAGAATTAAATAGAATTTTTTTATATCTGCTGCTTCTAATAATAAACTTATTAAAATGAATTTCAGGGAGAGGCCAAAAAAGGAAAAAGATACTTCTAAATTAAATTTACAGTCATCTAGTTCTAATAATGGTAAGTGATAAAATTATAACTTTTATCATTAATTTTTCTTATATAAAAATCTTTTAGAAAAATTTTGTATAATGTAACAAATTACTTTTACATCTGTGAGGCCCACCATTTCTCCCCCCAAATTTTGGTTATTATTATATATATATATATATATATTTATTATTAACATTGTAATTTTAATCAATTTATTTTAATATTTTAGCTAATAATGTATTCTCTTTAAGTAATAAGTTGGAAATTTTATTGTATTTTAAATTTCATATCCCTTTTTTTGTTTTGTTTGGTTGTGTAATGAACAATTGTTAGCTATCAGACAAGACACCCTTTTCAATCACATCTTGCAGATGTGTGTGTAAACATAACACCCGGATTGTTTATGTTTATCAACCAATGTTGTAAGGAATTTTACTTATTTTTCTGATTTTAGAGACCCCCCCTTTCTAAATTTTTAGTAATACAAATCTAAAATAATTCAAAGAAACAAATTAGAATAAAATAATTATCCATTAATTGTTATAAATCTCACAACATGCAAAGGAAAAGATGAAGAGGATGATTGTCATTTCTCCCTTTTTCAATGGTGTTAGACGACAGATGTTACTCCATCCATGTCATGTGGATGCATATAATTATTAATAGGCAAGAGAGGAGGAAGATCAGTCATGCTTATCACTAATTACCTCAACTTCCACTGGAACAAAATCATGATTGATCAAAACAAAGAATAAAATAAAAGGGAATGACAAAAATCAGATGGGGAGTGAGAGAGGGAGTGAAAAACTTAGTGAAAGACGTAGTGAGGGACTTAGTGAGACTTTGAGTGCGATTGAATGAAGAAGAAGAAAGAGTGAGAAAGTGAAGGAAAAGGCAAGAGGAAGAGAAAGCAGAAAGAAGAGAGGGAGAAGAAAATCAACACAACATCTAGAAGAGAAGACCACTCTTTTCCTGGTATCACTTACTTCCAACATAAACCAAAAACGGTGCTTAATTCAACTTTTATGTCTTTCACTAATATTTTCGAACTACTGGTTCTTCTTCAGGTGAAAAAACGGCAAAAGAATTTATATATGATGGAGCCGATGTTTTTTGAAAGAATTCTGAAATGGAATGTCGGTGGAAACCCGTGCAATCGTCGTCATCGTTTGCGCATGCGTCGTTGAGAGCATAACTTTCATCTCATCATGTGTCATATACCAGGGTTTGCCACACTACTGATAAGGATATTTCATCTTTACTGTTGATACAATTGTTACCCTGAGCTGCTTTGTGTATGTAAATCGCTTTCATCAAACACAAATGGTATGTCTGGTGCATGGTGTATATTATCCTGGCCTGATTAAATAAAGGTTGTATCTCAGGGTTCATGGCATACTGTGCCAAGGCGGTTGTAGGCCTCTTGTGGAGGATGTCCGCTTTATGCTTTTTAAGCCTCACTCCTAAAGATCTCTTCGTGGAGCCGACATATATTAAGTATATTAATTATATACTTATAAAAAAAAGTTAAAAAGTATCTATTCAGATAATAGAGGGGTTGCGGCACAAGTTCAAACGTTACTTGTACATGGCAAGCAGAAGTACACTGTTTATGTTTTAACTCCAAGAAAAAATTGTTGCGGCGTACGTTCACAACATCACGTGACTCAGTGAACGTCACGTATTGACTCATAGGAAATTTGTTGAAAAAAATGGCGGATACATTTAACATTGAGGGTTACCAGCAAAGGTAAATAAACAAATTAAACTATTTTAAAGTATTTATAGAATGTTTAATAACACTTATAATTATTTTTAATTAGCATGTGTCTCCTACCATACAATCAAATGATAGGACTACCTCATACTTTTGTCAAGGGAAGTAGTGGCTTATGTAAATTCAAAGGCAGCTCGAAAAATTTATTTTTAGAAAATTTACAAATGTATTATGCTGTTGATGGTAGAAGATGCCATGGAAGAACAAACCTACCTTAAGATAAGCTATTATGAAGGCAAATATATGTAAATTCTAAATCACTTGCTAAAAAATTGAATAATTAAATAATTTCTGGATTAAAATTGTCTGTTTCTTTACATTATTATTTGTAANGAAATTTAAAACGCATGCGTGCCAATTTTAAATATTTTTAAATGTTTTAATTCTAAAATTTAATTCTTATTTATAATTAAAAAACGGCTAATATCGTTAATGTTCAAATTCAAATGTATGATTCGAATTCTCTATTCGTTTGATTTGCCTGAGGACGACGTGCATATTTACGTCGAAAGCGCTCGCAAGAATAAAATATATTAATTGTGTTTAACGCCTTAGTGTCTGAAGTTTTTGAAGAAGCTTTAATTAAAATAAAAGTTGGCGTGACATCCAACCTCTACGTTTTTACTACTCCTAACAAGATGAGTAGACAATTTATTACAGTAATAGAATGAGTGATCGGTTAATGAACATAATCTGTTCCAAGACCTTGTTCACTATCCGAATTGTTTGTTAACTGATTATCAATTTACCATAGGTTTTTATGGGAATTTGATTAATTCGTTCTGGAGACCCCCAAAAAATGAAAAAATATATATTTTTTACTATGTTTATTTATAAGTAATAATAAAAATACATATATAGACAGTCTTGCATTTTTATTAGTCATGTTTTTTCCATTTGTAGGGATTAAAGAATCTGTCCAATGTCAAATGCTTTTCTCTCTTCTTCAGGATTTTTCAGAAGTAATCAATAGCATTGTTATTGTAGAGATCCTCAAGCCTATTAACCTCATTCTGGTTGGGATGCCATTTGGATGACCATTGTTCTGATATCCTCCCACTTTAAAAGATCTTTAATAACAGATGTCGGCATTGGCCCTCTTTCGTCTTCCTCTTTTTCAGAAGAATACGCATCTCGCTGAGTTTTTTGATGTTCTTCGTTTGAGAGTTCTTGGAGTTCTTCTGTCGTCAGATCAGTATCAGGTTCCATTATGAGCTATTCAATGCTCTTTATTTCTCAGATGTGATTTTCATTACTCCTTTAGCTGCTTGATATATCTTTTTTAGCTAAGATTGTGCCTACTGTAGACCTGTTCAAGCCATGCTGCCTAGCAACATCAGACATCTTCTGCCCACTCTCTACCTTGGCTATTATCTCTTGCTTGATTTCTATAGTGAACACAGTTCTTGGCACTCCACTCTTTAGGCCTCATAATATTATCAGTTTATTTTTTAAATAAAAAGTCCAGAAAAGCACTTACAAAAATTCATAGAACAGAAATCAACCAGTGCACAAAAATTTTATGTAAATGCGAGGTCCGGATGAAATTTGGTGTTAAAACATTAATGAATATCCGATGGGACAGTTAAACTCTTGCCTTTTCTAAATAAAAACCGACACAAAATTTAACGAGTACCCATCCGACAGTCTTGTGAAGACTATAAAAATTATTTGTCAGAAAGGTGAACAAAAGGCTGAAATTACAAGGGAGAGTTTCAAACTTCGGAGGAACGCTATCTGATTGGTATCAGGTTGAGCATTGATGTTGACGTCTTCAGAGCTCCGAAAGATGTCGAATTGTCACCTATACAAGGGAAGACCAATCAGTATTCCTATTTTACATCACTTCTTTTTGTGTTTGTTCTATGAAATGTTCGTTATCTGTATATGTGTTCATTGTCCAAACATAAAAATCTTTTGCGAAAGTGTTTATCTGATTTGTTCACAGTTCAAACTGTTTGTTAACTGATCATCCACTGTATATTGTGAAATCTTGCATGCACTTGGACATATTTGCAAGGTAAGACTAGAAAGAATTGGGCTATATGAATAACCTATTGTACGGGTTATTCCTTAAAAAGCCCAGATCTGGTACTATCAGTTTTCTGGTTGTTTTTGAAACTAAAAGTGGTAATAAAAGGTAAGTGCTTTTTATCAGATGCCAAAGATTAACATGGGAATGAATCATATAAAACCCAGATAGTTTTTATGCACAAAATTCAATATAGGATTGAATTTTTAATAAAATGTGATGCTTTAAATGGTAATTATGTTAAAAATGAATATATATGATTAAAATAAATAGATTTTACAACTGTTTAAAATTGGTAACGTTATTCTACTTGTCTCCAAACAAATTTTTATGAAATTGGAGACCACATTTATCAATCAACTTTTGTATTGTATATACAAAAAATTTTAAGATATATTAATATGTAAATTATATTGAATGTTGTTCATATTTTTTATATTCATAATTAAATTGATTATTATTTTTACTATAGTTTTTACTGGAAAAAAATTAAAGTTGCTGTTTATTAGTTTACATAAGTAAAAGAAAATAGTTCTGTGTTAATTACAGAAATAATATATATAGAACATACATTAGAAAATAATGAAATATGTTTAAACTGTTATAATATATTTGAAATTTCTGATATTTTTGCAAAAATTTGAGCTCATAGAAAGTAAAAAACATTGTTTGATGTTATATGTTGTAATATTTTAATTTTTGATACTTTTATTATTTTCTTATTTTCATTTTACACAATTTTGTTGCTTAGCTGTTGTGTTTACATGATATACATCTAGATCCAGCTCATTGGCTTCACTGTTATTTTGCTGAAATACTTTAGTTTTCCATATAATACATATAATTTACAAATCTTTTTATGCTTCTTTAACATCAGTTTTATAGGTAATTAAGTTGTATATTTTCTACCATAAATAATATGAATGTTTACTTGAAATCATTTTCTGCACCTTCTAGTTTTTTCGTGGGCATTTTTTACCAAACTGACTTGTATCTATGCTTTTGTGTCATTCTTGTACTGCATATTATCCATCTAACTGTAAAAATTTGGGTTCAAAAATTTTTATGCTTATCACTGGTCCTCAAAAAACTGCTGTTGGAAAATTGCTGCTTTGTGATTGTGTACGGGTTTGTTTATTGACACATGATCACATCCATAAGGTTCTGGTCTATTGTCATTTTTGGTGTCACTATGATTTTCAATAGTTTAAATGTTTTTGTGCTTAAAAATTAGAAAAAAATCATTTTCTGATTCTTCTGAGAAACACCTTATCCCTCCCTTAATCTATTGCAGTTGAATTTGTTTTGCATTATCCCATGCTTTTGCAAAGTTTGAAGGGCATCTTAATGGAGTCTGGTCAAGGGCATTGTTATGTAAACAAAACAGTATCTCATAAACTAAACAGTATATGATGAAATTTGGCATGTGCAGAGAAGACTTATCACAGAATTTTTCAGAATTTTCCAATTTAAAGAATGGCAATTATGTTCAGCATAATTACGCATGAAAAAAATCAATCAAAAATCACTGTCTTATGTATGTGAGATATGTAAAAGAAAAACTGGATGTGGTCATGGATTAAGTACTGCTTTGATTCAAATAATGTAGTAAAATTTAATGGGATTTTGTAATAATTGCAATGTTTTTATGTACTATATTATATTTTTCATATTTAGTTTAATAATTATGACAGCAAACTAGAATTAATATAGTCAGTGGTACTTTTATTTCCTATTGTATAGAATAATCTATATCAGGACTGTCCAACTGGCGGCCCGCGGGCCGTATACGTAATTTTTAATTTTTACAGCCCCCGAGTACATTTTACTATGAATAAATTTATGTTACTAAATTATTATTATTAATATTAAAATTATTTTAGTATGTGAAAATTTAAATCTAATTTGAATTTAAAGTAGGTACTATTTAGTTTGCGTAACTTCACTTAACCTGGCTGAATACAGCAGCAACTTTCTTGGCCCCCGAAATGTTTGGTGAAGAAAATATGGCCCGCGGGCTATGATAAGTTGGACAGCGCTGATCTATATGGTACATTGATGCTTCTACAAAAGTAAACACTACATTGTCATGCTTACATACACAAATTTTCTTCAATAAGCTGACATACTGTAAAAATAACCATGTGATTTTTTTTGTTTTTTAAGTAACTTAAATCATCTAAAACTTATGAAATTATTCATTTAAACTCTAAAAAATTGATATTTAGATAGTAGTCTCGTGATAGTTAAGCACTCTAAAATGGAATGCTTCTTTGAATTTCTGTCTTTCATTTACTGTAGAGTAAAGAATTGAAAATGAAAATTAAAATAGTTAATATGAAAATAAAATGGTCAATTTATACATTTAAAATGCATGTATTTGCATTAAAAAACATTAATCGATGAACTAAAATAGGGAAAGCTTATAAATAACTGCTTATATTTCTGAAGTTATCATATACATAGTTTTGTAAAAAAATAAATAATTTAGACTTTTAAACAAGTTAAAAACATTTAATAAATTTGCTAAAAAATATTCTGGGAAAAGCTACAATGATATAATGACAGCAATTTGACAAGAAACAAATGCTTAAAAATTATGACAAATGATTAATTTTTTAATACCATTAAAGGGAATTAGAAAAGCAAATGTTTTTGCTTTTATTTATAAAACAAAAATTAATTTCATGAATAATTACTTTTTCTTACACAAAACGAAGTGTTATAATAAGGCAATAGACTATCAGTATATCCACTTTATTAAATATTATATTTATTGACATGATGTATTTCAGGTATAATCCCCCCCCTCTTCTGTTGGCTAAAAATGTACAATTGTAAATACTACAATATTATTAAAATGCTCTTAAAATTTTACAACATACCTTGATGTACATTTTATCATTTTTAAAATCACATTAATTTTAATTGATGAATAATTGAATTAATTGATAAATGTATTGACTGGAAGATAAAAGATGTAAGATGTACTTAATTTTTTTAAGTAAGAAGTCAAAAGAATGTTAAGTTTTAAATAAAATAATTTTGCATATGATGAATTTTGTTAATAAGATACATTGTTTGAATTTTTCTTCATTTATTTTTGATCAAATTAAATTATTTTTTAAGTATGTAATTTTGTTTCATAAAATTACCTTGTTTTCTTGTTTCTTGAATTTATAATATAATTTCTATTTAATTATTTTATTAATTTTGAAAGTATGCTATTTAAAAGTTTTATACTTAAAGTATTATACTTATATAACTGTAAGTATAATAAATAACAAGTATAATTAGTCATTAAGTAAAAATTAATGAAAATAAATACATAAAATAAGCATTTTTAATTTATATAGTTAATTTTGATAGTTTATTTTATTTCAATTATGCTTTACGTTAAAATATAATTATTTGACCAGGTGCATAAATCGTCCCGAGTAATGAAAAAACACGAAGCCAAACCAATACTAGTTGAATCGTAAGTTTCTTCACTTTCATCATTCTGAGATGAAAATGCAGAATTAAATATTATTGTCTATTATTTAATTTTATATTATAATTTTATTAAAAAATAAATTTCTGTTTTTAATTAAATTTCTTATGACTGCTGTTTATATATAAATATTATAAAGTCTCTGTATATCTGCACTAAAATTATATAAATTTTAGGTTTAGCGGTAGACCAACACACAGCAGATAGCTAATTAAATAAAGAGAAGTAATTAGCTATCTGCTGTGTGTTGNTTTTAGTGCGGATATACAGAGACTTTATAATATTTATAAATTTCTGTTTGTTGTTATCAATGTACAGTGGTGCCTCATATTTCAAATTTAGTTCATTCTAGGAGGCAATTTGAACTCTGAATTGTTTGAAGTCTGATTCAATTTTTTCCATTAGTAGTAATAGAAAGTGAATTAATTTGTCCTAGATTCTAAACAATACCAATCTTGATAAACTTCTGATAAATAGCAAATACACATAATTTAAGGCAAAAATAACACAATTATATACCCTAATAATAAATTAAAACATGAAAATAATAAACTACGTATATATTGTATGATAAAATAAAAATTGCATTTCTTGTATTTTAGCGAGTCAGGTTTCTTAAGGTCATCATACAGCTTGCTTGGCTTTCTCACAAAAATCCCTTCAGAAATGACATCATCCACCAATAGCTTCTCATGTATCTACACTAGAAAGAGTTTTTTCATAACATGTAATCTCCTGATGGTCAATGTTGTTCTAATTTTAGTCATATTTGCTGATTTTATTGCTTTCTTGTTCTTAAGAATGGTGTGCACTGTCTACTTTGGCATCTTAAATGTGGCAGTTCGATTGACCACACTACATTACTTTTATGCTTCTTGATAGTTTACTTTTCACTTCAGTGATCAATACTAAAACCATTGAGGTAAGCAGAGGGTCAGGGGTTAATTCCTTCTGACCACTTATGCTGCAACAGGTTAGTAAAACCAGATCTCTGATTGTTGGATGGCTAGGAGGGCAAATCGAGTGGGGAGTACGTAGGTAAGTTGGCAAGCACAATGATAGACAACAGGTTAATCAAAATAACAAAACATTTATTGAATAGCTAAGCTAGAATACATAAGGTGATAACAAAATATAGGCTAAATGCGGTTAAATATAAGTAAACTATTCAAAGGGCCGCTCCTAACAGCTCTAATGGCTATTCTGAGAGAGAGAGTTTACAAAGCTTTAAAATACAAATACCTCTATGCGGATATAGCTAATATGCGTTCGTTGAATGGGCCGTATGAATCGTAGTCGGCGCAGGAACTGTAGAATGGCGATGGAAGTTTAAAGTTGCTGTCTGTCGTATGGTGATGTTCTTTCGATCGCTATGTCCAGTGTATGGAGACAAGATGCACACATTAATAAGTATAACTTCCTTTGGATCGCCCTGAGCTTACGGGGGCTTGCGCTTTTATACGTTCTTTGTGGGAAAGGAGTTACGTGATTGACTTCTGTTGACACCTACACCAACTAAGTGTCAACTTTCCCACCTAATTGTAAAACAATCGGTGACCTCCGATATAATTCTCACCAAGAGTATTTTTTTCATCGGAGTTGTTTACAAAAGTTTTTTTTTTTGACATCTGCGTAAAAATCACAGATCTCACACCATCCTCTTAGGCTTTGTTATTTCCACAAACTTCTTGATTAATAAGTAGGGATTATATAAATAACCAAACTCACCAAAAATAAAGCAAAAAAGACTGAAAACACACGAGCCTAACACAAGATGATTTCACAGAGAGAGTGCATTTTTTTTCACTGTGTGTGTATAGAAATGTTGAAGCATAGTTTGAACTCCAGTTGAATTTTTCTCAAATTTAGTGTTTGAATTCTAGAATGTTTGAGGTTAGAGTGGTTTGAAGTGTAAGGTACCATTATACATAAAAATTTATATTCAATTTGATTATCTCATGAAATTGTATATCTATATGTATTATAAAATGGTAGAGTTAAATAGTTGATAGATTCATGAGTATAGTCAAATCTAAATTAATTAAAATAATAAGTACAGATAGTAATCACAGAATTTCTGTGTTATTTTTATTTGTATCTCTGTAGGAATAATGTTTAAGTAAATATAAAGTATTTTAAAGAATTCTTAGTTTGTTAAAATTTAATTTTTCTAATTTAATTGGCATTAAATTATTTGAATTCTGACAACAAGATAAGAAGTCAAATACAAACTAATATTGTTTCTAATGATTAAATATAAAGTTAAAAACATCATGCAGACATACTTCCAATAGATAACAGGAGTACTTTTACATTTGGCACACTTGATTTATTCAGACAGTTTGGAACATAAATCGATTGATTTTAATGATTCCATGTTTCAAAACAGTTATATTTTGCCAGTTCTCAAGCAAATGATTCTGTACAATAAAATGGGAAAAATCAAAATATAATAATATAACCTATTTAATAGAATGGCATTATCCTAAAGAATGGAAGAGAATGGAATTGTAAAAATTCACTATAAACAAATATTCTTTGAGTACAATACTTCTATCCTTACACAATATGTGTATTATGTGAGATTTAATCATTACAAAAATTAATGACTGAATTCTTCTTGCAATGTATCAACTTTAAAAGAACTTCTGTAATCAGTGAGTTTGTCTTGGAATGATTTGCAATTAACTCTTCATCTTCAGCTTATGTTGTTGCTGAATCTCAAATAAAGGATTCTTTAAAAATTAAATGGAAAAATCAAAGTATAATATTTAATACAGTTGTGTTATGAATCAAATTCTAAAGAATGGAAATTTGATACTGAAATTTTTTCATCTGTCAAAAACTTTATTCTTCTTTAAGAATTGTAAATTTATCTATTATATTGATAGTATACATTTATGTAAACAATCATCAGTTATGGTTTGTCTATATAAATATTTATATCTTTGATATCTTTTCTTATATGCTTATTATTTGGGTTGGATATGTAATTTCTATACTGTCTTGTATATTTTCATATTATATCAAGTATTACAAACTTTCTCTTGTTTTTTTTTTATTCTAATATAAAAAAACATTAATAAAATATTTTCTTAATTTTCTGTTGTTGTGTGATTCATTATTATTATATTTTTGTTTTATTTATTCATGCTAATCAGTTATGGAATGCAGCAAAATTATTTGTGAGTTTAGTAAATTTTTAATTCAATAATAATCCAAATATATAGGTTACACTCCATGGATTATCATTCTTTATTTTATAAGTTTATTTCAAATTCTATTTTAGTTATAGAAGAAAAGTTCAGGAAGGATGTGCAGATCATGATCAAAGACCAATTGAATTTTTTTGTCAAGATGATAATGAACTTGCCTGTAGTTACTGTGTTGTTTTAAATGATTCTAAACATAAGGGTCATTCATTAATTTTATTATCTGAAAAGGTAGCTGAATTTATGATATTTGTATTTAAGTAGTTCTAAATATTTAAACATCTTTATGTATTTATAGAATAAATCTTGCATGGATGATCTCAAATTAGGAATTGAAGAAGGAAAGAAAGTTCAGAGTAAATTACATAAAACAGAAAAGGTAAATAATAATTTTCTTTCTTAAAATAATTTTGTAAAATTTATTTTACACGTCAAAAATGAATAAAGGTGCACATATGCAGTGCATCAAGAAAAAACATCAAATTTTTGGCAATCATTAACATCTGTCATGATACCACTTGGGAATCCAGTGAAAGTAGACACCAATCCAACTTTTCAGCATTTGCAATATTGCCACACATTTCTAACAGTAGTATCTTTTGATTCAAACTAGTAATATAGAGTCATTGCATATAATTTAATGTTTTGAATTAATACACATGATCTTTTAATGTGGTGAAAGATTTGAAAGTACAACATGACATGAAAATGTAGAAAGAGTTAATAAACATTATTAATTGCTTAATTTTTTTTTATTGAAAGGAGAAATTAATTTAAAAATTTGGCATTTAAACAAGCATGGAAAAAATCTTCATTTATCTTGGAAATGTACAGTACATTACCTTTTACTCATGCATTGTAGAAAATTAAATAGTAGCTTGCTGCAAGTGTATGCTCTGCAGGTGTTATTGCAGTTTTGTTTGCCAAGTTTGCTTTTATATCTCATCTACATCTGTCTTAATGAGTAAGTTATAATATAATTTAATGAAGTAAAAACTGATATAAACCAATAAAACTGTTTAATGAAAAATCAAACAATTCTGATCAGTTTTAGTGATCATCTTCAAGTTTACAATCACTTCAGCTTGAACATTAAATTTGAAAACATTCCAAACACTGTGTGTGCATGTACAGTATATGTGACACACACATCCACAGAAGTTTAAGATTGAACAAAAATATTAAAAAATAGAAACAAGTTATAAATATTATAATAAATCAGATATAAACATTAAAAATATAAATTTGTAAATTAATAAAATTTTTATTCTGAATTAATTTCTTTTACCAGTATCCTAAAAGGTTTTAATCTAGGGGCAACTTATTTGCAAATATTGGTAATTACTACATTTGTTACAAGGACCAGTTTGGGAATAATTTGATGTATAATTTTTAATACAAGTTTTACTAACTTTTTGTGTAGAAAAGATATTTAAAAAGATTACCCAATAAATCTTTCTAAACATTTGCTACTTTTTGTCTTTAATTTCCAGTTATAAGTAATGCATTTTCTTATATGTTTACTTCTATAACAAACATGAGCCATTACCTGACACCTTTGTTATTTAAACACCCCTATGATAGGTTCAAAAGTAGGGTTACTCACTACTCTCACGTTTGTCAGGATGACTTGAGCAAATGGAGCTGTAAGGAGGTAGTGGTGGCAGACACAGAGACGTACACAAATGTACAGAAATAATTGTGTTTATTTAAAAAAAAAATTCTTACAATTATGTATAGTGACACTTGAAATGGATGGGAGTCCCAGCAAGGGTTGATGATACTAGTGTTTCAACAGAATCATTCAACAGGTGAAGTTTGGAAACAGAGATGGTGAATCCCTACATGTTGGATGAGTGTGAAACGTGCAGTTGGCAAATTGAAGACAGGAAGCTTGATCCAGAAAACATGGATTACCCAGTGGAGATGGAGGATCTTTTAGGGTCAGATTGGTGAAATGACAGTGGTACATGGTGGCAGCCAACATACAGACTCAGCAATAGATTAATGACTCAAATGTGAACATCAGCGATGTTGATGACTCACTTTGTTGGTACTCTACAGTGACTTCTAGATGCTGGTGATGACTCATGACCTGTGATAATCAGTGGTGACTTTCAACCCTTTATATGATTTGGACCTGAAATCTGTGGTTTGGATAAGTCAAGATCCAACTCTTCCTGTTGCACTCATTTGCTCCCACTTGTTTCTAGGAGCCAAGTTCAGGTTGGAAGGGATGGGCATCTCCCTCATTTCCATGCTGGGGCTATCACCTTCTCCAGCATTCCCTTATGAATCCCTGGGGTAATAGCCCATAATTAGCAAACTCTCTCAAATAAGGATTGTAATTAGAAAAGGGAGGTGTTTTCTCTCTGAAAAGTCGGGACATCTGGACCAATTATCTAATTGTTGCATAAAATGCTTTCCTCGTCCTTTCTTTTGTATATTTCAGCTGGAAATTGCCTGTTTTATGACTAGACTTTTTTGTCAACCACTTTCCTAGTTTAATCTCTCACCAGACATTGTCTTTCCCATTTTAAGTTTGACAAAATACATTAACTTTACAATTTTGTTTTCAAAGATTACTAAAAAGGCGAGACAAAAATGTAAATAAGCAAAATGGAGTTTCAGACCTCACACTATATATGACGTAGATAAAATCATTTTACTCATCACTTTAAAGTTTTCGTGACAAAGTTTTTGTCACGAAAGATTCTCTCACATTTAACCCTTAACTGGTTTTATGGGGGCTGCACGGCCCCCATGCGCCATATTTATACAAATTTCTAAAAAGCATTGGGCGCAGCTGCCATTTTATGTAATCTCATTATGTCGTGCATTGCTTGGGGTACCAAACGTTCGGCGTTTTAGCACTTACCAGGATGGAGCTATGTACCTTCTGGGGGCTGTGTGGCCCCCACGATACCAGTTACGTTGGTTTTTTGTGAATATGTATTTTTATGTTTTTTTTTATTTTTACAATTATTTTGCGAAGATATCGCAAACTTGCATAAAAAATTCAAAATGACTACCAAAGCATCATTTGAACTGCTAATAGATGATAATATTATACAAATTGGTAGATCAAGCTGTGAAGGTTTGAAACCCTTTTTTCTGTTTTAAAACAGTATACTACATTCCACTATACCTTTAAAATGCAGTCTACTTTTGGCTAGTTCTCTAACGTTTTCGGTCTAATTTATAGACCTTCTTCAGGATTGATGTAAATATTTTAATTTGAACTTTCTCAACGGTAATTCGAACAACGCACGTTCTATAATCTTCAGATATTCGATCGCGCATGTCCATTAGCTCTTTATAATGCCGCCGCTCTCCATGCCGATGCTATTCTACTTGACTCTCGAAAATTTATATTAAGCCCCTTTTCTCTGTATTTATAAATGTGCCATGCCTCTGCATACTTTAGATGTCGTATATTAGCGATCTTTTGTACAATATCCGCCTTGCTCCATTCGATTGTAATCTCTGCAGGATCCGCGATAGCATANTGATCCATCTGAAATGCAAAGTATATGCACCTTTGGTGTCTATTTTTTTGATATCTCAGGATAGAGTAAAGATTAAACAAAGTTTGACATGATAACTTGTGTATAAGGAATATTGATAAATTTTGAAGTATGGAACTGAATAGTCATGGATCATAGCTTGGCTGGGTAAGACACTGCAAATTTTGCTCATATGAATTCTCTTGAAATATGATTCTTATAAATTTCCAAATGGACCCCAATTAAAGAAGAAAAACACCAATGAGATGTATAATTTTTTTCACAAAGCCAGGAAACTTATGCAACTTGTTGCTGGAGTTTTTACTATAGTGAACTTTATGCTGATAGTTTTCTGCTTTGTTTACTTTTTTAGAGTTTCGTAAGAGGGCATGTTGTGGCTATTACACTGTATATGCCAATATTCATATCCTCCAATATTTTATTCTTTGAAAATATAACAGGGAATTAATCTTAGAACTTTTTATTGAACAAATATGGTTATAAATTCTTGTCATCTAATTAATAAGCAACTTTGATTAGAGATAGGCAGCATTTTGTGTTAAATTTAAATCTTGTTTTACTAAATAACAATGCTTTATATCATACAACTAAATAAATACACAGTAATTAAACAATAATTTATTAACAAATTACATATGAAACTTAAATGACTACAAAAAACATAAGTTATTGATTATAAATAAATAGTATTTTCATAACACTTGAGAGGAAAATGTCAACTTATTGAATTGATAAAAATTTTTGATGTACACATTCACAAATATTGCTGATGATATTAAACATGAGAAAAGTCAATAATGTTTTTAAAAAAATTGAAACTTATTATTGATTGTTGAGTAAGTACAGTACAAATTAATTTTCTTCTTATTTCATTTTCATATTAAAATATTTAGTAAACAATATAGCTAATATGATTTATAAAAAAAAATAATCATTATAGATGTAAAGTTATAAATGTTAAATTTACAAAACATTACTGATTTAATTAATAGTGTTTGTCAATTTTATTATATTACATTTCAAAAAGTAACAAAAATTCATTGCAATGAAAAATCATGGTTGTTCAGAACTCTATTGTCATTTGTCTTAGCCCTTAACTGGTTTTATGGGAGCCCCACGCACCATATTTTTACAAATTTCTAAAAATCTAAGCATTATGCACAGCTGCCATTTTATGTAATCTCATTACGTCGTGCCTGCCTTGGGGTGACAACGTTCGGCATTTTAGCACTTACCAGGATGGAGCTATTATCTTCTGGGGGCTGCGCAGCCTCCACGATACCAGTTATGTTGATTTTTTTGTGAATATGTGTTCTTATGGTTTTTTTTTATTTTTACAATTATTTTGCAAAGATATCGCACACTTGCATCAAAAATTCAAAATGACTACCAAAGCATCATTTGAACTGCTAATAGATGATATTATACAAATTGCTAGATCAAGCCAAAAACTCCTAAAATAAGTATGTTGTCATTTTGTGGTAAAAAAAAAAAAAATGGGAAATATGCTACTAAGTGCAACAGTTGTTTGAAATTTGTAAAGTGCATAGTACCACAAAAATACTATGTGATAACTGTCAAGACTGAATTACGTATTTCATTAAAATGTTCCTGAGTCTTAAAAGTAGAAGTGATTATATTACCTGTGGTTTTTTAACAAATGATGGTTAGAGGCTGTAAGAGTTACTATTTTGAAAGACTCGTTTCTTAAGAATAAGAAGAAAAAAAAAATATTTTTGTTAAAACCTTACAATAGGATAGATTTTTGTATTGTTGAAAAAAGCAAACACCAAAAGTTGTAACAATTTTGTGATATCTTGTAATAATTAAGTAAAAAAAATTATATGAATATATAAGAGTTGATTATACTAAACAAGAGTTCCATTTAGCATTTATGCACTTTCAAACTGTCACGTTGTTCAAAATTGCTCTCTAGAGGCAAATTTTGCTTGGGGGCTGCACAGCCCCCACAAAACCAGTTATGATTGTAAGATTTATAAAACCAGTTAAGGGCTAACAGTTATTTTATTTTGTCGTTTATAAATTTTTACCAGATTGACCTAAACAATACGATTTTATTTATCTGATGATATTCTCTCATTCCAAAATTTTTTGACATTTAAAAGTACAATGAAAATGATTGAAAATTGGTTTTGAGATTGAAATACTGAATTTGTTAATTTCAGCATTTTCCCAGTAACAACTTATTACTATAAATTTAGAAATTAGAAGATAATTTTCCATTAAGTGATAATTTTTCTTACAGAAATAGTGTAGCAAATAATTCAAGACAGCAATATACTTTCTGTTGTCATATTGCACAAAATGTAGCTGAAAAGTTCACTAGATACAACTGGCAAAGATATTGCTAAAAATATTTATTTATTTACTTATATTACTAAACATTTACAGAATCAAGAATATTATATCTACTTTTTAACCTGTCCTGTGTTATTCCCGACATATCTCAGGTTGCGACCTACTGACCTGGCGTGGTGGACCCGAGACTTCTTGTTTCTGCTTAGGAATGTTTTTTTAACATTAGATGTCACTATATGTATGGAATTCTGAAATTAGTGACTCTCATCAAAAGAATCATTATGCTATGTAGTTTTGCACAGCACGATATTAAAACAATAGGAGTTATTGTTCAGAAGAAATAAGAAAGGAAAGTAAACCGTTAGTTAGACTCTGCTTCAACATGGCAAAGGCTGGGAGAAATAGCACTCTGAATAAGTCAGAAATGATTGAATGTTTGTTTAATTTAAGTTCGGATGAGTCTGAATTATCAGACAGTAATGACGAGTATATACAAAATGAAAATGTAAGTGATGGTAGTAATGATATTGATCAAGAAATACCAACTACAAGTGGGTGCAGAGGCCAATCATGCGGACCTGTTCGTGGAAATAATAGTGTGAAACATCTGCATTTTAGTAGTGATGATGGTTGGATCCATACGAACTTTACAAGCCCTCAAGTCAACAGTTTCACAGGACAAGCAGGAATTTAGTGTAATTTACAGAGTGATGCTACACCATTCAACTGTTTTAGTGTATTTTTGATGATGAACTTGTAGACAAGATCATTGAAGAAATGAACAGGTATGGTGATAGTTTGATGAAATGTGATGATTTATGGGAAAATAGTTGTATAAAAAAACTGGAAACTGACAACAAATCCAGAAATTAGAGAATTCATAGGACTTATTATGGTCACAAGTATCATTAACCTATTCGATGTTGAAATTTTTATTTGTTGCCTGTGACGCCATGTTGAATTTTCGTCGATATTAATTAAGCCTAAAAAATTTTTNGCAAATTAAAAAAAAAAATTATTAAAGACCAAGAAATAAAGTATTTCATCTGATTACACTGTTCTGTACAAAATTCTCTCTCAAAATAAAATCTAATGTTTTTTAATGTATTTTTTAATGTTTTTTAATGTTTGCTGAATGCAAATCTGAACTCAAGAAAAACTTGAAAAATTGCAAATTAAAAAAAAAAATTATTAAAGACCAAGAAATAAAGTATTTCATCTGATTACACTGTTCTGTACAAAATTCTCTCTCAAAATAAAATCTAATGTTTTTTAATGTATTTTTTAATGTTTTTTAATGTTTGCTGAATGCAAATCTGAACTCCAAAATCATTATTACCTACAGATATTTTTAAAATTCCACTTTTTTGCAGAAAAAATGCCTCTCTTAGATAAACTTTCTGTTACTGTTGTTTGAATAAAAGATAAAACCATAAACGTCTCCAGCAGTGAAAACTTTTGGAGAAAGAAGTTAAGGTGTGTCCTGTTACAGAAAAGGGGAATCACAAAATATGAAATTTTTCAATGGAAGACAATCTCATTTTTTTGCAACAGTATACTGCATTTGTGGGAGGAACTTTGGCTACCTCAGGAGCCTGCAGAGTGGAGACTATTGACTCAAACTTCAACCTTAATAGAGTTTTACTGCACAATAAATGCTGTCTCTTCTGGTTGCTCATGCTGTTCACAAAAGAAACTTATGACAAGATAAAATACAATGAGCATAAGCCAAATGTGTGCTGACCTCAAGTTGTAATGCTAACAGGTTTTCAAGGAGGATACACTAAATTCTGCTGGTTTTTTTTTTTGTGTGAATGGAATAGTTAAATAAGAACAATCCACTATTTAGTAAAAAATGGCCCAATTACACAGCAAACATACAAAGTCAAAAGAATATTGCTTTTCCTGTTCTGGTGGAGAAAATTAAAATCCTCTTACCTCTTCATATCAAGCTGTTTGATGAAAAACTTGGTGAAAGGTATGGACAGAGAAGAAGGCTTTGCTTACCTGAAACAAAAGTTTTCTCATCTGAGTGATGTGAAAGTAAAGGAGGGAATTTTTGTTGGTCCCCCAAGTAAGACAGCTTTTGAAGAATCCTAGTTTTAAGAAAAAACAACACGGTGGAAAGGACAGCATAGGACACATTTGAAAATGTAAGCAAGAATTTTTTGGGAAATGTATGAACCTAACTATGAGAAAATTGTGAATTTGGTAATGTCCTACTAAACATTGGGTTGCAATATATCATTAAAGATGCCTGCATTCCCATTAAAATTTTTTTGTGCCAACCTAGGAACTGTTCTGATGAGCATGATGAAAGATTCTATCGGACTCTTTCTCAAATGGAAAAACAGTATAGCAGAAGGTGAAACAAGAACATGTTAGTGGATTACTACTTGACTGTACAGTGAGAGACTTCAGAAGAATATAAAAGGAAGAAAACATGTAATTAAGTGTTTCAGTTTTTAATTGTACAGAATTATGAAAAAGGAGTAATTAACATAAATTTATTTGTATCTAATTAGCCAATGAGCAATATGTGTAGCCAATAAATATGATGTTCTGAACTGAAAATGTTTTCCCTTAAAAACCTTGTTTCTCTCAAACCTGGTGGGTGTTAGGACAATTCTGTTGCCAGATTTTGATTCAACACTATTGAAACTAAAAATCAGTGAAAATGTGATGGGAGCAGAAATAAATATATTTTTTTTTTCCAGAACAGTATTATGATATATATAACTTTTAAAAACTTTCAAGCACTGTGGGGCAGCTAGACCTCGGGTTCTGTAGATCCTAGTTATGCTGTTGCCAGCAAAGCATATATAAGTAATAGAAGCAACGTAATCATATGCTATATGATGACGATGACACAAGCAGCTACTGAAAAATATTTATTGAATTGGCAAAGTTTGTCAAAATTAGAATTAGTTCCTAATTTTTTAGTTCATAAATCAATACGTATTCTAATGTAATAAATTATTTTTCCTATTCATTTCAATCTGTCAAAACAATAAGATCACATTCAATTCAATGAGGATTTAATAAAATAATAAACAGATTTTTATTAATATACTATAAATATTTTTATTTTGCACTTTTATATATACCTGCATGATAAAAGCTTGAGAGAAATGGCTCTTCTCAATAAAACAGCAATATTTCTTACTTAATATAACATAAAATAGACTCAAAAAAAGCTGTTTCTTGTTTAAAAAAATCTGTTTAAAGACTGACAGAATGAGATGGATAAAAAAATAATGAAATTTTCTAATTTTTCAGTTGGCAATTCAATGGTTTGTTTTTGACACTTGTTTTTCAAACTACTACTACTTAAGGCAATAATTTTATTATTACATATTATTTCAGATAAAAATGCATCAATTTCAGTTACTTAGAAATAATCATAAAGCAATCTTTCTCAAATCTTTGAATAATTCAAAACAGAAAATATCTAGTTTTTTATTGTTCTAAAATAAATTCAAAACTTGTAACAACAAAAACAGTGTAATAGAAAAATCTGTCACTCAGATTAATGTGAAGTATGTTATGATGTAAAATGGCATTTTTCAAATATTAATAAAATAAACAAATATTCATTGAATATCTGATTATAACTTGTTCTATCCTTGTCAATATTTTTGAACGATGAAAAATTTTAAGAAATTTCCAAAACAAACTTAAATTCATTGTATTTATAGTTAAAACCTTAACATTTAACATTTATAAAAATAATAATATAAGAAACATATAAGCCTAGTGAAATACATGAGAATAATTTAGTATTTTGTCAATTATTATACAATAGAATAAATTAAGGATGAACTAGCCACTCTAGTTAATCTGTTGAATTAATCAATGTACCTTTAACTTAATCACAGTACTACTAAATTTATGTCATGATTGTGAGATAAGGTTTAAGACAGATACCATACTTAATATCTAATAACATTAAAAAAGGAAAGCTATTAATGCTGAAAGACAGTCTTATTTTGTGTGTTATTTTTGAAATTTTCATGTGAAATGTAAGTAAAATCTTTATTAATAGTCTGATTTATTATATTAAGCTTTTATGATTGTATGAAGGCTAATTAGCCTACTACAACTTTGTTTAAAATTTTCATTAAAACAATTATAAAAATATAAAAAAAAGATGGTTTTCAAATTTTGTTTTAAACTGATGTCATTTCCTGTTATAGATGCATTCTTTTAAATACACAAATAATTGCATTCTATATAAAATTAGAAAGCAACTATTAATTATGGATATTTAAAGATTTTTTAAAATATAAAAATAGATCATTTTATTTCAAAACTGCTCAATAATTTATAGTATGCTCCAAACTTGATTTAAAAATAAGGAGCTGTAAAATATCAGAGAACCAGCCTCATTCACTACTTTGATTTTATTTTGATAATGTAATAGTTTTATCAATAAACATTGATAAAACTATTACATTATTTTTAATAACTCAGGCAGTTTTGCCTGAGTTATTAAAAACAATTCTTGTCATACCATAAACTGGGGTAACTTTGTGACACACTCATTTTTTTTTAAATCATAAAAGCAATTTTTAATCTTTCAATAAAAAATAAATTATTATTATTACCAAAAACATGATATTGAATGTAGAAAATTGTTTTTCAAGAATAAGAGAGTAATAAAAATAATCAAGACAGCAAATCAGCCATTTCTTTGTTGGAAAATATTGTTAGTGGCTGAAGAAAAAGACAGACTTCATTGCATTTATATGCACACACCAACTTTTTTCATTATGTTACAATTTCATTGTAGTACTTCTCTCTAAAAATTACAATTACATGATTACCAATATTTTTATCACCCAAATTAAATCTCCATTATATGAGATGTTTATTTCACTGTCTGTATCTCAATTCTGCAATTTCATTTCATATGCTTTCATTAGATTCTTCATTTAAGTGTGCGATACTTTCTTCAGTTGCAAGAAAACAACACCATTAATGTATTAAAAGTATGTTTAAGTTATAGATAATAATAAGCAAGAATAATAGTTTAAATGCAATTCATTTTTAATTGGTTTAGCTGGTGTAAGCTAGAGGTTAATTTTAGAGTTGAGGAGTTACTTTTTGACATTAACCAAGAAATCAATTGGTGTGTAATCAGAAGGAACACAATAATGGAAAATATCATGTCTTGTATCTTCTAGCTTTAGCCTGTACAGTGATGTTACCAGTGCTATCTTACCATAAATAAATTTTAAAATGGATATAAACCCTCCATATTGAAAATAAGTTAATCTAATAGGACATCAAAAAGTAGTCCCAGTTTATGGTACTCTCAAAATTGGAATCAATGATTATTAATGCTCAAGTTAAACATGAAAATATGTAGACTTATGTTGATATGTTATATATAGGCTTAGATGAACAGTAGTTGTGGTATCAAAATGTAAGTTGCTAAAAAGGATGCTCCTTTTACTACTAAAATATTTTCCTTACAGGAATTTAGTAAACATATCTGTTAATATCTTATATAATAATTATATTATAAATACATCCAATCTTACAATGTCTTGCTGTAAAATTATTGGGTTTTTAGCATTTTAAATATATTTACAAACTATAATAATTCAGCTACTAAAACAGGTTCTCCATCTTCATCTATAGTTAAATTTGATCTGTTTATGGCAGAATCTTTGTTTGTTAAATTAGAAATTTCTCTACTTTCTGCTGATTCTGTGAATGGAACATCTTGTCTTGAATGTAATTCATGATATTCATGCCCCTTTAAGTTAAAAATAAGAAATATTAAGTAATATCTTCTTCCATTTAAAATTAAAAAATTATTTCAACTTACTTCTGCATTAGGAGCTCTCTGCCTTCTCTGTATATTATCATTTTGTAAGGCAGAACTTTCATTTAAACTATAGCGTCCATTAAGTGTAGCATATTCATTTCTATCAGCAGCAGCACAATCTCCCAATTGGCTGCTACTACCAACACTTCCTGTAATGCTCTTTCTTAAAGTAGCATACATGGCACTTTCTGTATCATCATGGAAATTTATTGATGCTTCTGTAGTAATGATGTTATCATGATCTTGAGTCATACTCATACTAAGTTCCTACACATAGACATAAATGTCAATATTTAAAATATGAAATATAAAGTATTTTTTTTGTATTAACAATACTAAATTTAGTGGTAAATATAACAAAAATCAAAGATTCTTATTAATATCAGTAACGGCATTAGTATTTTCATTCCGGGAAGGAAGAGTTTGGTTGGCTATTATCTGTACATTCTATCATCAAATTCATTTTTAAAATTTAGCAATAAATTTTCAGTAAAACATATAAGTGGAAAAGTTTATTGAGAATGTGTAATTAATTGGTGAATAAATATGAATTTATTGTTTTATTTTGAAGAAACTTTACAATAATGGTCAATATAGGTAGACTTGAATAAATTATTTCAGGGTGGACAGATGGATTGGCAAGAAGAATTTAGGATGGGCTGGTATCATCTCTGCCTCACTATTCTGGAATCCTTAATTAATATCACAAGATTTTGATCCTGTTATATTAATTATGCTAAAATATTTTTCAACATAAAAACAAAATACAAACTTATTTTGTGTATGGATCTGAAGATGAGATATGAACTATTTGAGTTTTAAAATATTCATTTGATATGTTCAAAAGACATTCTAATCAAGACCTAGTATACGTTAACTAAATAACAAAGTTAACTAATGTTTGAAGTTTAAGACTATTTACAAAAAATTAATTTTTTGAGTCTTTTCTTATCCTTTTTCACAATACCACAGAAGTAACAGTCTTTTGGTTTGAAGGTAAAAACTTCATTATATGACCAATAATAGATTGATCAATTTTAACTTTGTGTGAATTTTTTAATAAATGCTGACCTTTTATTTGAGAATTCCGCACTTTTTACGTTAAAACAATGGTAAAAATTTCTCACAATAACTATCATGGGTACAGTACATCATTATGCAAATGAATTTTTGTGAATACCTGAAACTACCACCTGAGGGCTGGAAGCAGTTATATATTAATTAAGGCTAAAAGACATGATAGTTATTGTGAGACATTTTTATCATTGTTTTAATGTAAAAAGTGCCAAATCCTCAAATAAAAAGTTGATGTTTGATCAATTTTAACTTAGATCATTAAATAACTAATAATTGGGTAAATTTTTTAATAATCTAAGTTAAAACCAGATGGCTAAGCAGTCAAGATGGCAGTCTACTGCTCTGGGGAACGGGATCGAATCTGGATGGGTCAAAAACTCCACAGGAATTTTTGGCAGGTGGTCCAAGCATATGTTGGCCCTATCCCTCACACCCATAATGGGCTTGCTAAATGAGGCCCTCTTAGTGCCCTCAGGGTGGAAAAAGTTAAATTGATATATAACTTCTCTAGATTTTTTTTTAATTCTTTCATGTTTTGTGAAAAGTAGCACTTTACAGTTTTATAAGGTATTGCAAGTACTGTACATACACATTGAAGATGAAACAAACTATATTATATTAGATTCACAAACAAAGGAAGTTTGAAGAACAAAACAGTGTATATATATATATATTCAAGGAATCATTTTATTAATGGAATGAAATGTTTTTTCAAGACAGTTCATGTATGTCAAGTTTAAATAATTAAAAAAATTATATAATTTTTTTCAGATAACTGAACACTTGAAAAAACCATTTCATTAATAAAATGATTCCTTGAATGTTTATTAGCATTTTGGTCTTTTGATAATGTCTATGGAGTTGTTTCCTTCTGAAGAATTCATTGTAACATGATCTAGAATTAATTGCAGAACGTTAGTTGCTTGCAGTGCCGAAAGTGCCAGTAGCAAGTAACTAATTTTTTTTACAGAAATATGTTCTGCATATGCTGAAATCTCATCATTCTTTAATTATGACTACCTGGTATATTTAAAATAAAGTATTTATTTTCCTGTAACAACTGATCTATCTTTCATTTAAAATCTTGAAACAAAATTGACACTAGAATTTAAGGCAATAAAATTAGTTTATTCTAATTAAATGTTTCCATATCTTATTATCAAATCAAACAATTGTTCTGTTTATAAATTATTCAAATTTGTTAATATGTAGTTTTTAAAAATAAAAAAATTTAAATTTATCCTTAAACATTCAATATGACAATAAGATGTAAATTATTTTGAAAAATGTGTAATTGAAATTGTTCCAAGGTTTTTAAAAATCATACTATAAGATAAAAGCAAATTTATTTACAAGCAGAAAAATATAGTCTCCTATATTGTTTTACTTTGTCTTATAATTTATTTATAATAATTTGTTTCTTAAAATAAATAATTCTAAATAACAATTTGTAAATAAAAATATTCAGATTGTTTTAAAAATAAAATGACACTGAAATACTCTGAATGTAAACAATTTGTGATAGTGTTTGCACGATAGGTAAGGAAGGTTATACTAATGTCTTGCAACATATTACTATATACCAATTTGTAAACAAATCTAGCTCATTAATTGTATATTTAGTTTGCTTGAAATATATATTGCTTCAATTAGTAGTGATATTGAAAGTTTAAAAATTCTATATTCAAAATATTTGGTCTAGTTATGTATTAATTTTTTATGTTGTAAAAATATTTTGCAATATAAGAAATAATACTGATATCATAGGTTTTTTAATTTTAAAGCTATGAAATTAATATTTAATATAAAAATTTTAACATTAACATAACTTACTTGTTCTTCATATAGTTTTAATTTTCTGAAAGAAAAGATAAACATCATTACAGTTTAACATAATTGATTTATGTTTAAAATACTTTATTGTAATATCAGTACATTTTATTTGAATGAAAATTATTTATTTTTCTTTATAATTACTAATTATTAATTATAAATTTTTTTAGATAGAAATTAAATGAAATATTTTATACTTTGACCCAATAATGTGTTTAAAAAATTACATTTACTGACTATTAATGTTTTTTTTTATAAAATGAAAAATGTAGATAATTTGAAAAAATATAATTCTTATTTTATTTGTCATACGTTTAATTTTTGAATATTTTAAAATTTATTATATGGTATAAATTTAATTATATACATATAAAAACAATTACTTACTGTTCATTCCATAATGGGTTTTCTCTAAAAAAAAAGAAGTATACAAATTAATAAATTTCAAATTAATCTAAATAAAATATGATTACAATTTTTATAGATATTTTAAACACAGTTTTCAATTAAAAAATTAACTGATAAGTGATATGCATTATTATAATTTATAATAAAATATTCATATTAGCCTTGAATGCAAATGTATTATGACAATTTATGAGCATTATAAATTTATACTTACGTGGTATTGCCAGCATCCACTTCATCATTACGAACTATAAATTTAAAATTTTATTTATAAATATACATGTATATTAATTTATAACTACAATAGAACCCAAATTATCCAAGGATTGCTGCTATCTCAGATAACTAAACACTTGGATAAAATGGATTGCCATGGTCATTTCAGAATAAAAATTATCAAATAAATATTTTATAATTTGTATTATTTTTAAACTTCTTTATATCTTGGGGATTTTAATTACATATAAGAATAATATTTTTATACAGCTGAAATGTACAATAGTTTTAACAATAAAACTGTGTATAAGTGTAGTTTCATTTTGATATGAATAGTTTGTCTAACATTGAAGTCAAATGATAAAAGGTAACAGAAAAAATTATTTTGTAATATTTGTTATTGTTTTAAACTTTATTTAAAACGTCCTTTAGAAACTTTTGTTATATAGCAATTCTTTCCTTTTTTCTGAACTTCAGTCATCTCAATATCATTTTTCATGGACAGTCTGTTCCTTATCTCTTGGCCACCCTCATTATAAGTCTGGTCAAATTTGTGATGGACATAGAAAAAAGACCCTCTTAAGCCCAAAAAGGGGAAAGAGTTTAAAAAAGGCACTAAGTACAATCAAGGTTAAAAAGTACTACAGTGTTTATATACTTGGTGCATTCATGGCAAAGTTTTTACAAATTATAAGAAAAGTAGTGTATTCACTTACAGATTCACCTTGGATAATATTTCTATATAAGTATATCTAAACAGACAACTCTTGTATTCCAACCGCATTGGAGCGAAAACGCGTTGTAAAGGTACCACGTTGTAGGAGGCCTACCTGTATAACTGACAAAAAGTAATGAGAAAACAATTTANTGATTGTTATATAACCTTATAATATTTTGTTATTTAATTGTATTTATCCTATGCATATACATATACATATTATTAATTGTAATATTTATTTTATTTTATGTTTGTTATTTTATACATGTATATGCTTATTTTCTTTGTTAATTATTTGTATTTAAAATTTTGTTCCATTTATTTATATTCGAATTTGTTTTACCTGATGATGGCCAATAGATTTGGCTGAAAATGTTTGTTGTGTTTTATTAAATTTCTCAGCTACATAAGGTGTTGTGTCTTGAATTACATTTTGCTGGGTTAGTTTATTTAAATATTTATCTTACAATGTCTAATTACTAGATACATCAAATACACAGACTTTCAGAAAGCAAATGACAGTTTACATATACAGGTAACCCCCGTATAACACGGCACTTCTATAGCACGGATTCACTCTAACACGGTTCGAGAATTGGTACCATCCCCCGTATAACATGGTACTTTTATAGCACGGATTCACTCTGACACGGTTCGAGAAATGGGTAAAACCCTCGTACATGAAATGTAATAAATTTTTACATACTTAAGTACTAATAGTTCACGAAAATAATAATTTTCGTGAACTATNGTAACCATTTATTACATTTCATGTACGAGGGTTTTACCCATTTCTCGAACCGTGTCAGAGTGAATCCGTGCTATAAAAGTACCATGTTATACGGGGGATGGTACCAATTCTCGAACCGTGTTAGAGTGAATCCGTGCTATAGAAGTGCCGTGTTATACGGGGGTTACCTGTATATGTAAACTGTCATTTGCTTTCTGAAAGTCTGTGTATTTGATGTATCTAGTAATTAGACATTGTAAGATAAATATTTAAATAAACTAACCCAGCAAAATGTAATTCAAGACACAACACCTTATGTAGCTGAGAAATTTAATAAAACACAACAAACATTTTCAGCCAAATCTATTGGCCATCATCAGGTAAAACAAATTCGAATATAAATAAATGGAACAAAATTTTAAATACAAATAATTAACAAAGAAAATAAGCATATACATGTATAAAATAACAAACATAAAATAAAATAAATATTACAATTAATAATATGTATATGTATATGCATAGGATAAATACAATTAAATAACAAAATATTATAAGGTTATATAACAATATCATATGAAATATGAAAATTGCAAAAAAAACAAAAATCAAGGCATGAATTATGAGCTCTCCAATTTTTTAATTAGATATTTCCAGGCTGACGGTAATCCTTCAGCATCCCTAGCATTAATGCATGTATCATGCAATCTGCCTTTATAGATCTCAATCTTTTCAGCGCTTATTGCCAATGTTGGAGAATGCACTGGTTTAATAATATTTGCTTCATCCCATTTGACCACTGAGCCTTCAGCTTGTGCCATCTGCGATAGTATTGTGGCATTTGATCCTTTACTGACATTGTATTTATGCTCTCTCAGTCTGACTCCCAAATTTTTATTAGTGACACCAATAAAATTTTTCTTGATGTCTAGTTCTAAGTTTAACTCAGATTGCTAGAACGCTAGGATACAATGCAAATATGATAACAGCACTAATCAGAAGTTACAAAATAAACAAAGCAAAGGCTTCAGGCAGAGATTTCTCTACAATCACAAAGTTCACTTATGATAGAAATAAAAAGGCCATCATAAAGGAATTTCTGACCAAAATCCAGAAAAAATCCATGTTAATTTTCAAGAGAACTCCCAATTTGTATAAAATATTAAGAAATGACAAACACAAAATTGATAAAGAAAGAATAGCAGGAGTATGCAAGATCCCNATCCAAAATTTCTACCTTTGAAGAGTTATAAATTTCCTTTTTAACGACGGTCCTTTCTTTTCATTCAGCATTGTTATGGCTAAATTTTTTTCAATCAGTTTTGTGGACAGTAAAAATCGCAAAAAATAACTTCCTTTCACTATGTTGTTAAAAATATACGCCCAATAGAAGTTTATACTGTATTTTGGACCATTTCTGCGGTCCCCACTTATTGAAAGAGTTTAAATGATTGAAAATTTAGTGATGTATTTGAGTGTTTACGGTAACTGACGACATCTGTCTAGAAACCGGTCTTTCCCTGAAACTTTCAAGGGAATAACATGCCAGCATCCACAAACAGCTGTTTTCAAAGACTTTTAGCTCAGTATGCCGAACTGCGGCTCGTATCACGTGATCCGTTGCAATTTTTCTGTTATGTGAAGATAATTCATTTCTAAATACTGTAAAGCGCATTGTAAAAGTACCGTGTTGTAAGAAAATTTCCTCATTTTTCCAACCACATTGGAGCGAAAACGCGTTGTAAAGGTACCACGTTGTAGGAGGCCTACCTGTATAACTGACAAAAAGTAATGAGAAAACAATTTAAAATTCCAAAAAGCTTTAATATTATTTTCATTGATTTAAGAAATATTCTATATAAACTTACTTTGACTGTAGTTCTAGCTACACGATGTGGATATGTATTCTCTCTAGCTGCTACTGATAATCGAAATCTTCCATGATCAAACTGAGACATCAGTTGAGTTGCTATAATTCTACCATCATTTGAAATATTAAATGGAGAAGGAACAGGTCTAACACTACCAGGAATACCTCTCCGAAATAGATTTACATTTTCTAATCTATACATAAGGATACTGTCTGAACCTTCATCTGGATCAATTGCATTAACTGTGGTTACTACATCTCCTATCTGTGTTGACATGTGTATACCTTAAAATATTTTTAAGAAATTGTAGTTTTATAAAATGTTTAAATTAAATTAATAATAAATAAAAATTTATATCCAAAATATTCAAAAATATGTTCCATCATTTACCAGCTAAATATGGTGAATCAATAAAATGGGGAATATTATCATTAACATCAGTAATCATTATTCGAATCCATGCTAAGCTAAGATCAGTTTCCTTATAGGTTTTTTTCCCAGGGGATATTGTTCCACTGTCTTCTTGCTAAATTAAAGCATAATGAAAATTTCAAAATAAATAAATTTTATTTTTATAAAAGTAAATTTTAAATAAATTAATTTAAAACTCACAGGATATGAAATATAATCAGGATTACTCGTGGCTTTGACAACTAATTCATACATACTTCGCTCTTCTCTGTCAAAAGAGACTGTAGATGAGATAATTCCATATATCTTATCAATAATGAATTTATTATTGCTGTCACTATCTGCAAAATATAAATAAAATAAAAACTATAATTTCATTTTATACTGAAAATTAAAAATATTACTTATAAAAATTTACCAACCAATAATATAATAATAAATTAGTGAATTATCTCCAATATCCTGGTCAACAGCTGATATTTGTCCAACTGGAGTTCCTGCTCCTAAATTTTCTTCTAATGTGAATATATAAGGATTTGTGCTCTATAAAGTTATTAAGTTTAAATTAAAAAGAATGAGAATAGTAGCAACATCTTGCAAATTAGTTACTTACTTGAGATCGTTGAAACTGAGGAACATTATCATCTACATCTTTTACTACAATTGTTAAAAACTGAAGTGTTTCAAATGACATTGGCGAACCATTATCTCTTGCTGCTAGAACAAGCTGAACATTTTTAAAATTACTAATTAAAAAAGTTTAAAAATAAACTACTAAACATAAAGATTATTTAAAGATAATTAAGTAATTAATTACTTATCATAAAATAATGAAAAGTAATGCTGTCGAACAATATCTAAACAGACAACTCTTGTATAACATGGTACTTTTACAACATGATTTCATTCTAACATCTTAGAGAGCTGCAGCAAACCTTACATAACAGTATTTTGAGTAACTACAGTGGTACCTCAGGATACGAACGCCCCATCATACGAAATTTTCAGAATACGACATGAAATTCGAACATATTTTTGCTCCATGATACGAACAAAAACTCACCATACCACGTTACATTAGTTCGCAGCACCATTTTTTATTCACTTCTGTTCATTGGTCTCAGTCCGAGTGTTTGCTTCGTCATGGATCTCGCTCAATAAAGAAAATCTTGAGGTATTATCAGAAAGAGACTGATTTTATTGAAAAAAAACATCCCGAAAAGGTTCACACTGGCCGTATTGCTGCTCAGAGTAATGATATTTGCCTAAGTCATTTTAGAAACNAAAACCCATTATGGAATGAACAGTAAGTAATTGTTTTTATATGTATATAATTAAATTTATACCATATAATAAATTTTAAAATATTCAAAAATTAAACGTATGACAAATAAAATAAGAATTATATTTTTTCAAATTATCTACATTTTTCATTTTATAAAAAAAAACATTAATAGTCAGTAAATGTAATTTTTTAAACACATTATTGGGTCAAAGTATAAAATATTTCATTTAATTTCTATCTAAAAAAATTTATAATTAATAATTAGTAATTATAAAGAAAAATAAATAATTTTCATTCAAATAAAATGTACTGATATTACAATAAAGTATTTTAAACATAAATCAATTATGTTAAACTGTAATGATGTTTATCTTTTCTTTCAGAAAATTAAAACTATATGAAGAACAAGTAAGTTATGTTAATGTTAAAATTTTTATATTAAATATTAATTTCATAGCTTTAAAATTAAAAAACCTATGATATCAGTATTATTTCTTATATTGCAAAATATTTTTACAACATAAAAAATTAATACATAACTAGACCAAATATTTTGAATATAGAATTTTTAAACTTTCAATATCACTACTAATTGAAGCAATATATATTTCAAGCAAACTAAATATACAATTAATGAGCTAGATTTGTTTACAAATTGGTATATAGTAATATGTTGCAAGACATTAGTATAACCTTCCTTACCTATCGTGCAAACACTATCACAAATTGTTTACATTCAGAGTATTTCAGTGTCATTTTATTTTTAAAACAATCTGAATATTTTTATTTACAAATTGTTATTTAGAATTATTTATTTTAAGAAACAAATTATTATAAATAAATTNTTTTACTGTATACCTAGAAAAAAATAATGCATTTTTATTTTAATATTGTTTATTAAATATGTACAATAGATTAAAATTTAACCTAAAATTTCAAATTTTTTATTTAACATAACTTATCATGTTCACAAAAAGGTTTAGTGTATCTAGTAGTATATATAAATCCTAAACATTTTTGATACATCGAAAATTTTATAATTTGAGTCACAAAAATTTAATAATTCAACATTTCATTTAATGCTAAAAATAAAATGGCTCTTATTGTATAAGATTCTTACCAGCTTTTCATACAACGGCAACAAACTACCATAGTTATTATTCCAACAAATAGAATGATTAAAAGAGCAGTTAAAACCATTAAAGCAGCATCATATTGTTCTTCCACATAAGTGTAGTAAGCAGGCTAAGTTAAATATAAATGATGATGATAAGAAATATATTGTAAAGTATTAATTATTATATGGATATAATAATAGTCTGATACTTACAACAATTTTATGGATGTAAAGATCATCATAATGTAGTTCTAATAACTTTGCATTAGCATCAACAGCATCTAAAATGTTTGCTATTGGTAGCATCTTATCATCAGAATCAACTACGTGTATATAAAGATCAGTCCTAAAAGTAAAGAAAATGATTTAACTTTCTATTTTTTACATGTAATTTTGATGGTATGATATATCATTTTACATATATTATCTGATTATTTATTACAAATTTAATTATCAAATGATCATTCATTTACAAATTTTAATAAATTTATCAAACTTTGATCTATTAATAGTAAAAATAGTCTCAAAGTTTATTTGTTTTGTTATTTTAAAAAGTCTAATTTGTATAAAGTATCTTTTATAGTTATGAATTTATGTTTAAGTCATTAAGCATTATATATATTTGTGCAATACAGATTTGTGCAATATATATATTTATACATCTCTAGAGATGTAAAAATATATTGCACAAAAATTCTTATTGATTGCACTTTAATTTTTTTTCTAATTTTTAATCTTTATTTGACTACAGTCTTCCTGTTTGATCTATGGCTGCTCCTTCACTAATCTCCAAAATTTCCCATGAACTTGATAAACTGTATTTAATGTTAAATAAATTATGTAATTTACCACTTACTTCACAGTCTGTCTGTTGCTTGTGTGTGCATTGGCATGCATGACTTCAAAGAATGCATAAAATATTTTGATCCTGTTCTTTTTTATAAATATTTTAATGGTTTAATATGTCCACAATGGTTTTATTTAAAAGTGCCCAGCAGTGCAGGATAAATCAATATACAAATTAGACAAATGTTTAGGGCCCATAATTCAGAGGGGCACAAGCCAACAGATGACAAACATAAAACATAGGGTTAGGTTTGAAAAGTTAGCAAAAGTATACTATTCTTTTCCATCACTAAGAGAAATATTATTGATTGCTTTAATAAACATATATTTCCAATTAACAATTAACTAAAAATCACAATTAAAAGTACTGTATTATGTGTTAATATAATTTTAGTTAAAGGGCATTTTCTTTTTACAAAGTATCATCATCATCTGAGCTTTTTTGTTGATTTTGGTCAGAAATATCAGCAATATGTTCATTTTTATTTTTATCATAATAATTTTTTTTGGGTGAGAAAATAAAAATATGTTATTAATCAAAAATTTGTTCTAGGGAATCGTTGTTTGTTTAGTTGAATACTGAGCAATTTTTTCCAGAATTTGTGTTTGAATACTGAATTGTTCGAGTTGGGAGTGGTTATAATCAGAAAACTCAAAATTCATTTTAGCAAAGAAATATTTTTTAGTTGTGTATTAATTTTATAACAGATAATGGAAAAATAAAAAGTTGTAAAATCATATAAGTGTGGTTACAAATTGGTGTGATAAACCCTTAACAAAAATATCAATCTATATTTTATTAATTTACAAAACTATTTAAACTATATTTGAGAAAATTAAAATATGAAATATTTAGAAAATTATTTATATTTACCAATGGTGAAGTATTTTTTGTCTGTCTGTAATATGATATTTAATGTCATCTATTACTACTTCTCCTCCTGTTGCATTTGACAAAAACCTAATGCATAGAATAATACCAATTTAAAGTAATTATTTAATATAAAGTTATTTTTATAAATAATATAATTTCCAATAATTAAGAAAGATATTATCTTAATTATTGTTATAAATTGTAAATTCTTAAAATTCTCACGTAATAATCTGTTGTTTCTGCTTATGTACTTGTTCTGGTGGTTTAGCAACAATAACTCGTACTAATTGATTAAATTCATATATCCATAGCTATAAATATAAAAAAAATATATTAAAAATATACTTGACATATACAGGTAGGCCTCCTCCAATGCGGTAGATACGTTCCTTGAAAATACCATGTTGTGGGAAATCACGTTATAGGAGACACCAACTTAATACAAAAACTGGGATTTGGTTCTAAAAAGAGAAAAACTTGGCGTTTGAATGCCGTTTTTTGAATTTTTCAAACCAGCCATTGCTAGCCATGAATTTAACACTGGTTTCATCAGCTGATGACTGTCCCATTTTTTTTTAAATAATCAAATATTTTTAAGCCTTTAAGTGTTTAAGTGCAGTTTTATTTAAAGGCAACCGTTTCTTGTTCATATCTTCTACCCATAATATTAGCGCTTGTTCCATTTTTTCCATTATAGGTGCTCTCAGACGAGCAACATTTTTCGCAAGAATAGATGATTCTAGATGCGACCAAATTTCTGATCTTTTCTCTCGACCAAATCGTCAACTCATTTAAATTAAAATGCCTACCGATATCAGCTATCCGCTCTTGATATTTAATTCAATCCAAAATTTCTACCTTTGAAGAGTTATAAATTTCCTTTTTAACGACGGTCCTTTCTTTTCATTCAGCATTGTTATGGCTAAATTTTTTTCAATCAGTTTTGTGGACAGTAAAAATCGCAAAAAATAACTTCCTTTCACTATGTTGTTAAAAATATACACCCAATAGAAGTTTATACTGTATTTTGGACCATTTCTGCGGTCCCCACTTATTGAAAGAGTTTAAATGATTGAAAATTTAGTGATGTATTTGAGTGTTTACGGTAACTGACGACATCTGTCTAGAAACCGGTCTTTCCCTGAAACTTTCAAGGGAATAACATGCCAGCATCCACAAACAGCTGTTTTCAAAGACTTTTAGCTCAGTATGCCGAACTGCGGCTCGTATCACGTGATCCGTTGCAATTTTTCTGTTATGTGAA